AACTGCACAATCGCCGTCTGGGGGAGGCGCTTAGCAGTTTTAGAACGCAGCCAAAAGGCTACTGGAAGGCAACGGTCCAAATTTATAAACTGTTAATGTTAAAAACTGCCATCAGAGCCATGGTGATTAAATTAGCTTATGATTCTGAGAAGAAGAAAAAAAAGAGGAAACAAAAAGCTTCATAAATCAAAGAGGAAAGAAACTCCAAATCAAAAAGAGAGGCATAGTAAGCAGTCATTCCAAAAATCAAAGTGGAGTTGGCTTGCCCAAGAGTGGTCATGCAAGGACAGGGAAACAACAACAAGCAAAGCCCCAAGCTTGTTACGGATGGGCCGGATAAGCATGCAGCATTCGTGTTGAAGCTTGCAGGCCCCTGAGCAGCTCAGTATCGGTCTGCACAGCAAACAGGGAGGAGAAGGAAAGAGGAGTAGAGTTTCTGACCTGTGGCTTCTAAAAGATGCGACGCTCTTCCTCTGGAGAGAATTATAATATCCTCAGGCTAGGGAGGAGGGGGGGAGAAGACAGACAGATCAGACAAGAAAGTTATGTAGTTTGTCAGTGAGTGTGTGCCTAGACGGAAAAGAAGGTTGTACATGTGGTTAGTTGTCAGATCATGAGTGATGAGTCACTGAAAGCATGTGTTGCACATAAAAAAAAACAATTTAATAACAACATACATGGAGTAACTTTACCTCAATTGATCTAATGACAGACACAAACATTTACAGACACTGACATAAAGGAGAGATTCATACACAGAAATCATTCATTCTGTTTAATCAAACATGCCGATATAATACACAAAACAAACAAATGGTGTGCAACCTAATGTTGAATGAAAATAGATGTTAAATCCTGGACTAAAGTCCATCACGAGATCCTTAAGCAATCCTTTACAGACTTTTTAGGTCTGTAAGTGTTTTATACACCAGTAGAAGTGTTGGCCATGATTAATTAAACAAAAAGAAGGGAAATGCTTCAAGGAATAATCTGAAGTTGGCCAGGAATTCCTGGTGCTTATATACACAGAAACAAGAGTTTTTTTTTTTACTGAAGAGTATAAATCTTCTTATTGCCTTTGTGACTGACGGTTGGGCCTCCATTCACAACACTTTCCACTCTGTTCCTTTAGACTTGCTTCCCTGAGCAAAATGAAAACCCTTACAGCAAGGCTGAATACTTTCTTCTTGCCCATCAGCTTTATTCCCACAGTTCTCTGCAATCCAACCCTGTTTGATAAGAAAACACAGGGCTTACAAATTGACTTTACCTTGATTTTAACTCACTTTTTTAAATCCCGTTTTCAGAGATTCAATTCTTCAGAATCTCCGATTCCAAGCTAGCTGTCAATATGTGACAAGCTTAAAGTAGAATAAGGATGGGGGCTGTTGGCAAAGGAAATAAATGTCCCTCAACACACATTCCAAACAACCAAATTCAGGTCACCTAAATCAGCCCAACTGCTGTGGAAATCTGATTATGTAAAGAAGTGACGATACACAACAGATTAACCACCGAGGGCATTTTACATACCCACTAAACCCAAAAGAATTACTGTAACAAAAACACAACTGTAAACGGTAATAGTGCAGCTATTATCCAAACTCTTCACCTGTGATTTCCATTTCTGCATTTGGTGCTTCCTGCTTTTTGTAGTGAAATGTGTTGCGGTCAAGCCCGCCCACGTCTAGCCAGCTCCAGCCAAGATTCAAACAATCAGCATTAAACAAGCACGTGTGGTTTACCTCTTTGGGCATTACGCATCTCCATTTTTCTGCTTTTTGAAAGCAGATTTAGCAAACTCCATGACGCACAAACTGCTGACAGCAGTGGACAAAATACACTTACACTGGACAAAATGTCACAAAATCTTTCACCAGCGTCATCATCGCTTTTCAATCCGTCCAGCGTGCCTTTGCTCAGATACTAACAAGAACACGTATGCCAGCAGGCAAAAGTACACAAAGCATCAAATCCTATCCTCTTGCCGTCCTCTCACAGCATCAATGGGACACTTGGATGTAGATGACAGCTGCATTAGATTGATGAGCCACAGGCCAAAGGGTGCATCACCCTCAACATCTTCAGGAAGCACTCTGACTCGGCCTTCCCCGGTCCAATTCAACCCTGTGACAGCTGATGCAGACTTTTGAACTGTGCAGCCACGAATCCCAATGAAACCACGCCTTTACGTCTCAATTCAGGATGTGTTCAGTGGGCGTTGATCCTGAATGTCGGATGGACAGCGCCCCTCCATCCACGCCCTTGGTGACACGGCGGGCCGGGGAGGCGATGGAGAGGAATTGGAGATGTCACGGGTGTAGCTTTTTTAATTGATGAGTGCACTTGAATGAGGATCATGCAAAGCAAGTCATCTGAGGAAACTTCAACCCAGAACCAATGTATCAATGACCCTTTTTCAAAAGCTCAGCCAGTGGAAAAAGCAGAGACAGGAAGTGCCATTGACCTCGATCCACTGCGATGACCTCGCACCGAAGTTTAAGTATTTAACGGGTTTCTGTGTTGATTCAGTGCATCACTTTTCAGACCATTATGCTTTGTTACTTCAACAGCAGCTGAGCGTGTGGAAAGGAGAAACCTCTTCACATTTCTGAAGAAAATTTACATTTTTTTTATTTTTGATCCAGCCTCACACCTCTCTCCCCCAAGGCTGACATGAGCACACCTACAATGGTTTCACTGGTACAGATGGGGAGAGCAGACATGCACAGTAAGATGCAAATACGTTCTTTTCTATGACACTGTGGCTTTGACAGGATAGGCAAACTCATGTAAGGCTTAAAAAATAGGATTGAGATGAAGGAGGAGAAATGAGAAGGTGGGAGAAGTCTTCTTACATAAAATAAAGTTACAGAACAGAAACATGATAATATGGTTTATGGGCTCATGGATTTTTGTTTTCATTGTGTAATCCCAAAAAAGTGTTTGTCACTTGTTTTTATTGCTAAGGGGACATTTTCAGCATTGAGGCTGGACGGACTTTAACACTCAAACGTCACCATACATATATAAAGCACACAAAGTGTGTTTTAGAGGATTACGCAGGCTAAAATTTCAAACTGAAAGTATCTCTCTCTAAAGCATGATGGGCCTAATCTGGCTTTCCTCATCGCAGGATCAGGGCACAATAGGAGGCTGATCTATTGGACGAAATATGTTCATTTTTGAGGATACAAACTGACATTTGCACCATCAGCAATGTCTGCATTGAAAACTAAATGACATGGCTCCTTTTAATGATAAATAATAAGACTCACGACAAGGCTGTCCTCGAAATAAGAGATGCGTTTACTGACCAGCTTGTATCTGAATACCAAATGGAATGCACATATCTGCTGGAATGTCCAATGCTATCCTGCTAAGTGTAAATGTTTACTCATGACTGAGCCAACGACAAAAAAGGGGGGCATTTGTGTGTGTGTGTGTGAATGTGTGTTGAAGAGAAAATAAGTAGCCTTCTTCTTCTGCTTTTATGAATCTTAAGTAGTTCCATGTTGAGGGGGGCTTTGTTCCTGGTCACTGTTGGGGGGCATGTCCTCCAACTTTTCCCCTCACTTCCTTTCAATATAACATTTATCATTCTTCTTACTCAAGCAATCATCCAACAACATGGACTAGCATCGAGGACACAATAAGACGGCTCTCCCCACGACCGCCATCACTTTCCTGTTGCCTGGATACCATTATCCAGCAGGATAGCGTGTCAACAACTTCACTTACTTAGAAAACTCCCACCATCATCTGTGATGGATTTGATCCTACACTGTCTGGTAAAACATCTACTGCATCTGAATGTCTGAATGTCTGGATCTGGGGAAAGAAAGCTATGTACTCTGATGGCACAGCTGAAGTGGTACAACCTTTTAATTTGCGGGGGAAATCCCCTGTTGGTCTGTCTGACGACATGTCATATTTATATTTGGATGTCCAATATTTTTTACTGACATTGAAGCATGCAAGTGTTGGCAAAGTCATAGCAAAGTCATGGCCAAAACGTCCTGAATCACCAAGAGTGATTCAGTAGTCCCCACCCCCTCCCTTCGCATTGCATTGCCAAAAGGGTTAACAGATGCATTAGCAATAAGTGCAGAGATAAGAGAAGTCATTTAAGTGCACACAAACACTGAATCCCATCAGCATCGTTTTACCGGTACCTTTGAAACTCCCTTCTGCCCACATAGCCATAGTTTCTTCATTACTCTCCGCATACACTGACAAAAGTTTCTTTGAGCTTATGTCTGAACTTACTTTAAAAAGTTCCCCGCTCACTTTTCTGCAACTCTTACCATAGTGCTGGCTTTGTTCGGGCCTATCCTTTTCAGCTGACTGGCCTGTGCTACTTATTCCGCTTATTATGAACGCTGACAGCAGATTATTTTGCCTACTGCACCCAAATTCTCCATCGTCTATAGATCAATTACAAAACACGCTGGACGGAGAGACAAAGAAACTTGACAAAAGAGACAAAAGCAAAAAGAGATAGGGAGCAGAAAAAGAGATCTGGGGCACACTGCAAAAAAGGGGGGGAGGGTGAAGAGGAAACCCACAAAAATAGGGGAAGTGCACAAAGAAGAAGCAAAAGAAGAGGTAATATGGCAAAGGCTCAGAACTCTTTTAATGACTGTGTTTTGTCAGGGAAATAAAGGGCAGCTAACAGCAACATACCAGCACAGTGAACGAGAATGCAAATTAGCCCTGATGCAAATGTCATATGTGTTGAGGGGCAACACAGACTGTCTTTATACCAACCCCCCACCACAACACGCTTCCCTCTGTACAATCTGAACCCCTGTTTCTCCTCCAATTCCTCACCCAGACACACTGACACAAACACTTCCATGACATAATCACATGCAGGGCAAAAGAAGTTCAGCCACAGAGGGTACCTTAGTCCTTCACACTCACACAGCAGACCAGGAAAGAGAGGGCTCTATGCACTCTTATGAGCAGGCACACCTTGAGGAAGTCAAACCACTTACTTGTCGGTCATGGCTTCGGCTAGAGAATATTGATTCATGAAACCTTCTTTTCACTTTTCTTCAAACGACTAGAAATGGCTGAGGTGGATCTGGCTCAGGTGTGGCAACACGAGTCTGCAAGAGAAGTAAAAATAATAGGAGAGTTTAGGATTAATTATTTACCCATACACAATACATTTGACTGTTTGTTTCTCAGAATATCTGAGGAACCGAAATGACAGAACCAGAAAGACATACGTCACAAAAAAAATTATATTTGATACCATTCTTAAATAGTATTGAGAACTTGTTAAAAAAAATAAAAACACCCTGCCTACTTAAGGGGGTTTTGCACTGCTGGTGCAAAGGTGTGATATGCATCATGGCAATAAGTGAAAGAAAACTACATCTCCTTATCATTCCATGACAGACCTTAAAATAATGACTCACAATCGGTTTCCAGTAAGAAATGACAAACAATTAACTGAACAGACCTGTGTATACAAAATCCCAGATATGTTTCCAGAGAATTAAATAATGACTGAATCAGCACTCATTCTGTTTTGCTTGTTCAAAATGATGATTCACACATTTACCCCAGTGCCTTTAATAATGGGAGTATGTTTTTTGCATTGAATATACATTTCTGATTTAAAAAACGTTCATTAAACAAAGGTGCGATTTTAGTGATAGTCATCGTGATTCTGGGGGTTGCCGTTACCATAGTTACTGAGACAGCCAGATATCCAAGATGGAGTGCCCCATAGAATCCAAAAGATAATATGCACATACTGAATTCAGTCTCAGCAAGAGAGCGGCTGATCACTGACCATCAAGTAATGAATAATTTATCATTTGCAAGATATCAAATCAATAAGTTGCAACACACACACAATGCTTGAAAAATCTAAAAACACAGTCCTTCACATGAAATGCAATTAAAAATGCACACAATAAGCAGATTGGCTTCTCTGCCAGCAAATTTTAACCACCCCATCTTTTCTGCAACAGACATGACTGATGAGCAGACTCAAAACCAGCGATTAGGCCCTCAGCTTATGTGCCTTTAAAAGATTACAGAGGCAGCATGTTAGATTAATAGATTACACCCTGATATGTGTTAACTCACAGGAATAACACAGATCATGACTGGCCAGAGTCGGATTTAGCCTATATAAGCTGATAAGCATTAAATAGCAGTTCAACTACTACCCCTGAACACCAACAAACATATTGGGAAAACAGAGGCTACGCACACTCAAAGTTCTGTTTCTATGTGACTTTCCTGTCTCGTAGCATTTCACTGAACTTCTGACGATTTTCTCATCCTCAGACATTATCTGCACAAAAGCACTTTATTCCAGCGACAAAAAAGATGCCAGTTATCTTGGCCTTTCAGTCACTTTATCAGAAATAATGTCAAAGCTGCAAACATTAAATGCATCATATATAGAACTTTCCACACAAAGTGCACTGATCATCTAAGCAGCGCCATCCAAAAACCTTCCATTCCAATAATAAACTGCCCTTTCCTCACACGCAAAACAGTGTAGAGTTGAAGGCGAGCTCAAAATTATGCTCAAAACTGAACTGAGCTGCATGCAATGTGCAGGTTGTGGTCTGACAGAAACAGACGAATGGTTTACACTAGGTGAGAGTCGCTCTGAGCCACAAGAACAAAGCTCTGAAATGGCACTGGGGTTTGCTTTCATCTACATGCACCCCCGCCACTGAGATGCTTCAATGCTACAACGATAACCCCAACTTCACAACATTTTGAAAAAAATCAGAAAGTTCTGCTGAATTTTAGTTCCTAAAACACATAAACGCTATCAAAAAAGCCAACCCACCACATCGTGAGAACCTGCAGCCTACCACAGCACTGAATTATTTACGTCTCACATGAGATTTAGGTAAAAATAGCTTGCACCATGCTGAAGATGCTCTGCACTGCACAGAATTGGCCATAAAGCCATTTCCTCTGTTATGGCAGATGAAGACGGAAAAAAAAAAAAAAAAAAAGATGTCAGCGACATCAGCAGTAGCACATGTCTGTGTCACCACAAGGTGTGGGCGATGTGAATCTTACCATAACCTCAGAGAGCGCATCCTGCCGGTTAAAAAGGAAGGAGGTTCTCTCATCCTGGCACATGAACAATCACTACTGGGAAACAGCCGATTACAACGACAAAAAAAAAAAAAGACTCCTCTCATCCAGCACGACTCGTCTGTCACCTCCTTCCTCTTTAGTCGCCGGTCAAGCTTGTTCTCTCAAGCTCTGGTCTCTCTCTGACCCACCCACTTCATGCTCCCTATCAAGCAGAACAAACATTTCAAAAAAAGGGGGAAAAAAGCAGGAGATGCTTAAAAGGGTGGAGAGATAGCCTCTGCATTTGAGACCCACTCCACTATGGCGCATGCCAGTGGCATACTGTCTCCATCTGAGAGTGCCAACGCGACAAGGACGGCTTTCACCCGAGTCACTGCAGTCAAACGCTCCTTGGCAGTGGGGAGCGCCAGTGCACGGATCATGCCTCTGGAAAGCATCAATCCACACAATTGCAGGGGAGGGGGAAGGGGGAATTTGGGGGGTTGCGGCTGAAGGGTGAGAAGAGGGGGGAGGGGGCTGAGGTTAGCCTGTTGTGTGTCTGTGGGAGTGTGTCTATTGTTGAGGGGACATTTCTGTCTCTCCTTACACAAAGTGAACAGAGCCGGCAGGTTCAGATGGTACCCTCTCTCAGGAAGGCGTTCAGCCCTCATTGCAAACACACACACACACAGAGATTAACTGTAAAGACCGTTTTAATCCTGAGGTAACAAAACAGTTCAACTTTACCTCTATGCAAATACTTCAAACCTCAAAGAGAGAACAACAACAAGCTGATAAAAGGGAAAAATAACTGACAAACGAATCCACCCTCACAAGTCAACCGACAGTGAGGGACTTTCTCCAAAGCAACTGAATGTACTGTATGTACACTCACTCTCTCTTCGGTGTCCATTCCCTTCCAGCTCCATGCTCTCGACACAATACGAAGCTGGGAAACTTTTCAAAACATCAAGTCGGCTGTCGGCAGCTGCACAGCAACACACAGGAGCAGATCAGACAGCTTCCTTCCCACTCAAGCGCTATCAGTCCCGGCCTTGGGTGCAGCTTTTTGCCGGTGTGCATCTCTCACCTGTGCAGTTTTGGACACCAGTGCAACCGACACGTGTGACTCTGGTTCATTATGCAACACCTGCTTTTTGTCAAGGAAAAAATGACGGCCGAGCCCTTCAGGGCGTGGAACGTTCTTCGCTTTCACTGTTGGACAAAGCAAGAGTTTATCTCCACACATGTTGATATGAAACTTCCACTTTGTCAAGAAGCAATTCTGTTGAAGCATCCCTGGAATGCATGGCCGGTAACGCAGCAGACAGCCACATAAAAGCACCTACACGTGCCACTGTCTGCTGCTGATGTGGAACCAGATGTTACTTTCTGCCAATTTGAGGCTATTTAGGCCTACTGGTGTTGTGGCACAAATGTTGGGCGTGGGAGGGGGGATTCAGTGTAGGTGGGGGGTTGCCCCAGATGCATGTCAACGGGCAAGCCAAACACATCGCAACATCAAAGCAGCATCAACTTAATCTTTTACTATGTATGAGTTTGCAGGAGGAATTATGTTTACAGGAGGTGTCTGCAGGGAGGAAAACCCGATTGCTAATGAGCAGTCGGGAACAACAGGGCTGAATGTGTTGGTGTCAAAGACGGCACCTTAAACAGTGACTTCCAACACAGGAGGTCAAGTGTTACTTCTAAGATTATTTGCAAGCAATCCAACAGGTTCCTCAAGGGGGGTTGGGAAACGGCCACGAGAAGAAAAGCCCCTGGCACCCATGAATGGTGGTCACCATCACATCCATTAAGACTTTAAACGGCACTCATTCACTGTAGATAAGCAAGGAGCCGTGGCAGCTTTTAAAAGGGGCTCTACGATGCCGGTGAATTGCATTTGTATTGGAGCACAAACAGTGTGGGGTTCGCAATGCAAAGTTCTACATAAGCAACGCTGGACATGCTCCAGAAGGAACCATTTTCAACGCTCCAGCTTTTAACAAGAGTGAAATCTGTCAAACAGGCGGAGCTTTGTCTACATACCAAACGAGGCACGAAAGTAAACAACTGCTTACATCCAAACCGAATCTCATTTCTGCAGAAAGTTCAAGTTTACAAACAAGGGCCTCTTTCAGTCTGCATTTCCTGACTCAATTCATGTCTAGGATTGCTTACTGATTGGAAAAAGAACAGAAAGACTCGAGAGACAAGTTAGCATGCCACGGTGCTGTTATTATAAAGCAAGAGGGGCCAGTGTAATTCAATTTTGCACATGTGGATCCTCATGCCTCCAATAACAAACAAAAAAATAAACTGGCTGTACAGATGTGGAAACTGGGTTAAAATGGCAACATCCAGCTGCCAACGCACGCAAACAGAATATTTTAGATCTAAATAATACACCCATAACATTAACCACTCCTCTGAAAAGAAATTCCAAATGCTACAAGAGGAAACAGAAACCTTAGTACACAAACAAAACTTTCAAGCAAAGGGAAAGTTGAGTGCCAGTCAGAAATGCCTGAACTGTTCAGCGACATGCAGCCATTGGTTAATGATTTGTCTACAGCTGGTGAATGATCGCAGCAATATCCTGTTCTGGCTAGCTCTCTGGGCCCCCCCTCAGGGTCTGGCTGACATGATTCTGGCCCGCTCGGTTGCCAGCCTGCCCATCAGATTGACAAGATCCGGGTGGCTGCCCTCATGCCTGATTTGACCCAGCTAAGGACCTGTGGAATCAAAATCGATGAGGCAGAAGAATTACTTATTGAGCCCCTGAGGGAAGGGATGTCACAGCCTATGCATTCTGAGTGAAGACTGAAGACAGGCGGGGCAGTTAATGTCCCTAACGAGGCTGTGGAAAACAGATTTACAAAACACAAATGTTGTGTTTAGTGGTGGACAAAACAAACAAAAACAAGAACATTGCTGGCAAGCGAAAACATAAACAATACACTTATCTTTAGTTAACTAAACTTCTAACAACAAGGGACATTCTTACATTCCTATACTACTTAAATGAAGAACACTCAGTCATTCAAGCATTTTCTTTGGGTTTGAAGAGGTAATAAGTACACCAGATAGGAAAAAATGCCATGAAGTGACACTTTACAAGCATTTTCTCATTTTCTGAGAAAAAAAGAATGCTAACTAAAGTTCTTACCATTTAAAAATGTTTTTTTACATCAGGGCAGCAAACTGAAAATTATTGCAAAGTGTTTGTTTTTGTATAAATATGTGTGTTGTACCAAAAACAAAATGCATAAAAAAACAAATAGTTACAACTTTGACCAGATCATAAAAAAATAGCTCCTACTATTACTTTTTCTGTGCATGACACAAAGTAAGAGAGCGACTCTAAGAGTCTGCTCTGGACGCCTTTCACTGCAAAACAGGCTTGGATCTGGTCAGCACCAAACAGCTCAGCCGGTGTTTCTCATCTCAGCTTTTAGCTGCTCTCCGCGTGAGCCTCCAGTTTTGAGCTCCGTGCGCGAGCGCTGTCAATAAAAGCTCCTTAATTAATGCAGATGAAGCGCACGGGTGCTTGATTTGTGCATGTCGACGACAGAAAAAACCTCCAAACGACCTCTGGGTGGAATGGAGGCTTTTAAAACCCACACAAACACACACACACAAAGTGTACGCACGGGTAGTTTAATCTTTAAAAAGGTGTGCATCCAATCCTGCTCGGAAGGGCTTCTGTCTGACCTCGCAAGCAAACGTCGTCTTTTCCCACGCATAGGCTTTGGGAAAGTGGAGAGGAAAGCTTATTCCAAATGAGGAACGGCTTTTTTTCCCTCTAGAATAAATCACGAATGAGCTGGGGTTTCTCCTCTGTTGGGGGGGGTTCGCTCCAAAGAGCAACAAGTGCAGCTGAGCTGAAAGTCCGCGACAGCCAGCGTGAACACAACTTCGCAAATTTCTAACTGAAAACCCCCGGCGTAACTGACCGGAGATAGGAGGAAAATAAATTTAAAAAAACACCCACAACGACCCTAAAAAAAGGGCACGTACTCACCGCTCCGAGTCCGTTATCGCTCCCGAGAAGATTTCTTTGCGGCGGCGGCAGCAGCAGTGAGACAAAGTTTGCTTTGGTCGATGGGTCTCAGCTCAGCATGGCGACGACCGGCGGGGCCACAGACTGGATTCAAAGCTCTCCGGGCTGCGGTGTCGGCGGGCGGGGAGGGGGGGGAGGGAGGAGGCGGCACTGGGGATGGTGAGAAAGAAAACCCAGGTACCCTTCACCGAGCTCGTGTTCACCTGGGTTTTCCCATATTTCTTCTTCCTGGACATGCCATTTAAGGACAGAAATAGAAAGCTAAAGTTATACTGAGAGTTATTCTTTTAAAAAGATTTCTGTCATTTCCTGAATTGATTATTTTCATAACCACCTTACACTTCATAGTACAGATGCTGCTACTCCATTTCCAAACATTACTGACATATTAAGATCAATAAATCTTTGTAGCTGTGAGAGTTGTGATTTTCACAACTTAAACTTTATTTTTATAACTCACTTTTATAACTTTGATTCCCTTTTTTCATATGTAATGAATCTGTTTCAGTATTTCCAATTGTCTGGACACTGTTTCAAAGTCCTCCCTAATGTGGGTGGGAAGGATAGGTCGTCCTTTGATGGTGAAGCTCCACGCCCGTTGAGAAGCCGGCTACCTTACACTGTCTGCGGGGAGCCGTGTAGGTCAGTGGGTTTAAGGGGTCACTGTCTGACGTCAAAGGTCACAAAACATTTTTCTAAAAGAGAAGTGACTCAAAAACACACCAGAGGAAAGACAGACCGACCCTTGTCTCATTGTGCAGGGCAGAGGAGGCAGAGGAGGGAGTGGGGTTTTCCATGGCACCGCAAATGCAATACAATGCCATCTTTGAGTGAAAGGCAGAATTCTTCTGGCAGAAGATAACCAGCATCAAGGTCTACCTCTGTTGTATCTTTGCCATTTCATTCAATAACAAATGTTAAGAGTTTTACCGGCCCACCTGAGTTTGGTTAACTTTTGAATTCTTAGTTTAGCAAGTAAAAAGAGCCAATATTCCAACATTCAACATTCAGTATCTCCAGGCATCCTCATCTATACAACAAATTGTTTATTTTCATATCAACCCCTGATGATTTGGGAGCTTAAACAAGAAGGCCAGCTGCAGTTAAAAGGGCGATGGCAAGTGCTCTGAAATGAATATGGAAAGCAGCTGGGTTTATCTTCACTCACTCTGTGACATGTGCTGCTAAGAGAAAACAGGTGACCCAGGAATGTGTTCTGAAACTTAAACGAAACACTGGTACTCAGATGATTTGTTGCCACCCAGGGAGGGGAGCATGTTCGAAGACCAATTTAACATCATAAACCTTCTGACTTTGACCATAATTTTCTAAAATCCTATCGTTATATCGTTTTTTTCGTCTCGTCTTTAATGACACACCAACTTCGGTTCTGTACTGCGACTGTGATTCTAAATTAAAAAGTGGAAGACTGACACGGAGGCATGACAACACCACACAGAAAGCCTTATTTTAATTCTGCTTTAGATAAGAATATCAAATGACTGTCCTGAGAGTCACGAACAGTCCCACACACAATAGATAGGAAAAGTAATATAGTAAGGTGTTCATTTCCAGTGTAAGTATATGATCTTCATGCCTGAGCTCTTTAGACACACCAGTTGGATATATTTAGAGTCCCTAGCGGGTGTATCCATGCTACAAGGCAGACCACAATTATTCACAACACTGGAAGAGCTTGCACTGGTCTAAGAGGAGTCAAGAGGAGCGTGCACGTGCGTCGTGAGTCAAAATCAAGTCAAAGCTCAAACCTTCAAGCTACACTTGTGATAAAAGTAAACGGAACATTACTTGTCATTTTTAAGAATAAAATTGAGTTTCAGTCTGCTGAAGAAAAGAGGCACGTCACAAAACAAGGAGACAGTTCGGCGGGAGTTTGGAGTGCTTTTTGTTCGTGTTGCTGCCTGCACCTGCCCTCTTCTCTCAGACATTCGCTCCTTGCTTTATTCCTTGAGATGGCAAAGAAAATTGAAAACATTGGCACGTTTCATGTTGAGAATTGCTTTTATATCAAAATATCTGAAACCGGGATCCTATCAGTGACTGTTCAATGAGCAGTTATTAATGTATAACAGGCTAATAGGTTTTTATTTTAATTTTAAAAAAGCCTCCAGAGAAGGTGGACACTTTCATGATGTTGAACCACTGTAAATTCCAGTTAAATGTTTTGTGTCTCCACTGTTTATATTAATAAGGCACATAACATATTTGTTACTGTTTTCTATGTCCTCGAATTTATTACCATTGCACTACAAATTACATACTTCAGAATAATCACATGCTGTGCATTCAACATGTCTTTTGGATGTTTAAAAATATAAATATAAGTATATGTATATATACTGTAAATGGAAGCAAGAGCATTCCTTTCCAAGGATTTAAACATTGCATGAAGGTGAAAGGTTTTTTAAGACAACAGAAGCAAAACAGCTCTGTCTAGTGGTAAAATATGGACTTGCCAGTATGTTGGTTGAACAAAGTGCGACTATTTGTGCAGTTTCTCTTGCAGTTATGTAATGAATACATGTATAACTCAGTACAAAAAATCTTTACAAAGTAAAAAAAAACCCTAAAACAACTAGTTTCCTAAAATTTCAGACCATATCTAGATTTGACTATCAATTATGTATTTCTATCACATCTTCAGATCAGTAATTAGATTACTTTTACGTAATATTGTACAATAACTCCATGGTTGTAAGATGGTTACACTGAACTCCATTTATTTGTTAAAAAATAACTAATGGTTATATTATTTTGTAATTTACGGTCTAAGATTAAAATTATTTGAAGAAATGTTTGCACGCACAATACTTATCAATTGTCTCGATTGTTTGGCTCTCAAACGGTCCTCCATTAAAAACAGCCTTTTGTGGTGATATTACTGGGTTTAGCAAATATTATGATATCCACTGTCAGTGATAACCCTTCTTCATTCATAGATGAAGTAATGAAAAGGAGAACATGGCCTTGTGGCAGGGGCAACTTGCACTTTTGTGAGTTGTGGTAAATGCAAAAGCACAATAGATATAATCAAACAAAATATTGCAATCCTAAAGACAAAGCTTCCACAGAAAACCCTCCTTATTACACATTTTGAACATACCACACCAGTATTGCCCTTAGAAACAATATCGGTTTCCCAGTGTATTTATTTTGGGTTTGTTGCTCATTTGAAACAATCGGATATAACGACAACAAAGAATTCTACATTTTGTAATACCAGTGTTTAAAATGTATTTACGCAAAATGTAATACTGTGACCCCACAAACCCCTCAGACCAACTTGAGTTTTAGCACGGAAATGAGAAGCCCCAGCTACCCTTCGAGGGGCGGGCTCATGTCTTGTACTCCAATCACTATGTTTGCTTTCGTCACATGCTTCTACTCGACCAATAGTAAGCCTTAGATTAGCCCTTGCCGCACCCAAGTGAGATGATGGTGGAGGGGAGGAGCTAGGACAAGCGCAGAGAGATAAACCCACTCTGAAACCACTAGAATAAGGGATAAAAACACTGAAAACCTTCGTCCAACCCTTCGCCCGCCATTGTTTTAAATTCATCACCACATTAAGGAGAGGGTAAGACGCTATTGCTGATATGCTTTGGAAATAGTCTGCGGCAATGTTTGTCAGGTGTATTACGGCCCATGTGTTTTTTGTAATGTTTGCTCCGTGGTCTTTCTGGTTTCAGTGGTAAGCTGTTGTGCTAATATGCTGCCCGTGAGCGGGGGAGTGTGATAGCTGCCCCCTGCGTACCTTTTCGCACAGCAAGACAATTATTTCTCTATTTTTGCTTTGGCTTGACGGGCTCACCTCGGTTTTAAAAGCCGTAACGGAGAACTGCGGTCCGCACACGTACAGCTCGAGTTTTTTTTTGCTTTGGGGATCGTTAGCTTGTTTGCCGGAGCAGGCCTGCGGTGGCATTATGTTTCTATTCTCTCTTACTGCAGTGGCATTATTTTTGTATTCTCTCTAACTTACTGTGGTTGTTTATCGTGGACTTGTGTCTCTTCAAAGCTTCTCCTTAGGGGTGCGTTTTCTGAAGAGCCTGGGTTAACCTTGGTGTGTTTGGGGGAAGTCTAGTTGCAGCTGTTAGGTGATGGAGCAGTTTGCTGAGCTGTGTCCTGGTTGAAGATACTCTTATCTGTGGGGTCATTTAAAAACAAAAACTGATTCCATTCGACATGGTTGTAGTATTGCATTAAAAACATGCATTCAATTGATCATATTTGAAATCAAGTAAGAAATTGGAATTAAACTTAAACATGTAATTTTTCTCCGCAGCTAAAATAGATTCGTCAGAAATACTCAATTCAGCCATCTTTATTTGCATGTCATTTTCACACAAATTTCTGAACAATTGCCTTCACTTGTTCAGTTTGTTTTTCTTACTTTTTCAAGCTACTCCTGTGACCATTTGCTGCTTTTCACACTTTTATCAGATGGTAAACACACAGTCCCCTCAGCTGTTTCCGTAATGGTAGGATCAAGTAAGCGATTTAACTATGAACTAATTGAATTTTTTAAATATGTGGAAACTGGCTGTCAATTCTAATGAAAAAGTTGTGAGTATATGTAAAGATAATGTGAATAAAGACACCCTTTGTGATGTGCTCTGGTGATTTTCCTGTATGGAAGGGCCTCGAACTCAGACAAATGCACTTAATCTTAGTTCTAAACCGTAGGCCATATCTGCAAAGCTGATTGTCAGTTTGTATTCTTGTAGAAAGCTGCCAACCCCTCTTTCCTCTTACTTACGTGGAACGTGGTTCAATTAAACTGCTCTGATAAAGTGCGAGGCTGTGTGTTAAGCAATGGCAACTCCCAGGATCCTGTCATTCTGTGAGGATGAGTAAAAACTCCCAAAGGATGAACCTCGGCTCCGTCGGGCTTCTTCCGTGTTGCCACCCTTCATACACGCCACACTACGACACACGTTCACTGTAGATATAGTGCTCTGTGTTTGTTTTAACTCCCACTCCCTACACGCCCACACCCTGGACTGCAGTGCAGCTGAAAATGTGTTTCTCATTTTATCTCTGGTCTCTCTGTTTCACTCTCTCCTTCCTTCCTCTCCATATGTGTCCACTTTGGAGCGTGTCAGGTTGATACTTTTTGTCAAGTCAGAGGTTTCAGAGCAGGTCATGGATGCTTTGGCACCAAAGAGGTCACTAAATCTCACTTCAGTGCACAATATGGTGTTATGTCTGGGTCAGAAGCTGCACACACGCACACATGATGGCTCACGGTGTGGGAGCAGGGAGACCGTACCTCAAACCATTCCCCGTGCTGTCTGATAAAGTGATCTGCATTCGCACAGTAACACAACAGAGCGTGGGGCCTGGCTGGCCACGTCAGTTGGCAGCAGATAGTACTTTTCCTTTGCAGATAGTATGACTGGTCACATCTCCATTTAGCAAATCCAAAACAAAAAGAGTGAATACTTAAGTTTTGAAGAGTTCTACACTGGATTGTAACCTAATGGATTTTATTTTTACTCCATCAAATGAAACAATCAACCTTAATTCTGTCAAATAACTGTGCAGAACAACATATTGACTACAGAGAGTTGTTGCTATTGTCTCTGCGTGTTGCCATTTGCCTCTGGGATGAATCATCAGTTGAGTGAACAATGCGATCACACGTTTAGCCACAGTGCACATCTGGATGAACTACAAGCCAACATGGTGACAGTTTGATCCTTCAAAGCTGATAAGACCTGTTCTCCTAACTTAAAACAGGAAACATCCTTCACTCTAATACTAATCATGTAAGTCAAGTTTTTAAAAATGCATTTTAACTCTTTAGTCTTTCTTTAATGCTGATGACAGGCTCAGATTAAGTGGTTTGGATTGAAACGCTCCGATCTCGACTCGCATGGATGCTCTGAAAATGCTCCGAAGTTCCAACTTTTCACATCTTTTTGATGAAAATGGTAAACTTTTGCTCTTAATTATATGCTAAACGGATAAGAATTTCCTACATGAAAATCACGATTTCTGAAAGGCACGTCATGACTGTAGAAACAGGCGTTGTTTCCCCTTCTTTTAGCTTTACACTGTGCTGCTGGTTCAGGTTGGAAATGACAGGGCACGCTAATTACGGTCTTGTGCAGGAGACGAGGGCGTGCATGGAGAGTGCTAACATGACACCTGATGCATTCCCACTCGTCCCAGTCGTTAGTTAAGACTACGCATACAGTAACGTGAGCTGTAGCTATCGGAGTCTTCACCCCAATAATGTCAAACATGTATTTCAGATATGAAGAAGTCTCTGGAAGTGGCATGAAATACAAAGTGTGCACGCTGGTATGAAAGCAAGTACAGAAAGATTGGAAACGCATTGATTCCCTTTTTTTTCCCTTCAGTTTTTTGTCCCAACTAATTCAAATAATGATCACATGATGATCTTTTCACTGGCACCCATTAGAGTGGCATATTTTTGGACAGATTAGAATGGATGAATTAGTCATAGCTCAGTCTTGCTGAAAAGATGTTTTCAACCCAAGCTTCCGTCTCCGAAAAGGAAATTGTGAGAAGACTGAAATATGAACCAATACATGGTGTAATTTCGAGCTGTTGTGGGGGCGGATACAGAGGGAACAGAAATCCTGCTCGTCCTCGACATACACAGTCTCAGTTCTTTAAAACGACAAATCAGCTGGTCAGTTTCATAACAGTAACACATAGTTTATTGTGCAGGAGAGGAAATGAATGACTTTTATCTTAAATTTTAACTATGTGTTTAACTTTAACAGAAATGAAGACTCGTACAATAATGCCAAACATTCCACGTCTCAGTTTAAAAAGGGCTGGATGTTTCAGTCTCTCATTATTGTCATTATATTGATGTCATTATTCTTGATGAAATAAAGTCCAGAGCCTGCCTTTTCGGAACTAAGTTGCTTAAAGAGATTTGTTAGCTGACAGCTGTTCTTGTGTAACTGTAGCTTCTAACGGGTGTCCTGTGTTTCCATGGTAATGCATTTAGTTTCCATAGAAATGGCTGTCTGAGCAGGAGTGGGGGATAGTCAAGCCCAGAGTACCTGCACTTTGGAGGAGGGAGGAGAGCAGGGTGATCCTGAATAAGTGATCCTGAGCAGATAGCCTTTTTAAGTAAAAAAAAAAAATAAAAATCTTCTTCTCCATTTGAGAGCTGAACATCGATTTAGTCTTTGTTTTCCCGGGAGATGTTCCTCATGCTGGTGTTTGTTCTGTTACAGCTGGAAGGATTCAGCTGACGTTGCTGTAGGAAAAAAAATGGACTTCTCTTAAACTAATGTATTTTGAAATGGGAATGGAAGTGACCTGTAATCCCATTAGTGGGTTTTTGTCCATAACAAAAATGATGGATATTCCTTTTAACCTCTCAAGTTTTGTTAATGGTGTCGTAATGGTGATGATAACACAGTTTAAAAGCTAAGGAATGTTTGGAACACTAGTATTTTCCACCAGTTTTTTTTGCCTCTTCTGACTTACTGTGACTAGCCAAAATGCTGAAACTTCCATCTGCACCAGTCGGATGTATGCCTGAAAAAGCTGGCTTGATTGTTCAGTCCTTTAAAGTGTGGTCCCCTTTTCTTTTTCTTTCTTTCTTTCTTGTTTTTTTTTTCTTTTCTCCATCCTTTTTTCAGCAGACTTCATTATTCGGGCTTGTTGCTTTGACTTGAACAACAGCAAGCACAGCTTCTGGCTCGTCAGCAAGTCCCTGCAAAGTGAACCTAATCTGACAGGCAGGCTGGCAGCAGGGAGAGCTAACTGTGACCGGGGCTGACAAGGGCCTGCCCGACCAAGAGCTGCAGACACTATTAAGGAGCTTTAGTATGTGCTAGGCAGCAACTGTCATGTATTTGGTGGAAGGTCTATTTTAAATGACCATGGTGGTTATTTTTAAAACCAGTCTGGTTTTTATGTATGGCGACTGCATTAATCAATTTACATTCATGCATTTAGCAGACCTTTTTATCCAAAGTGACTTACAGATTTTAATATTCAAGCTATCAAAATATTTTCAGCAGTTGAGCTATCATAATACGTTTTTTACATTATTAATAGGTCAGATTGGGTCTCCTGGCACCAGGCTAATAGCCTGTAATTGTTTCACTGTCTAAGTGTGAGCTACATGGTTAGTTTGCAGTTTGCTCTCAAAAGCCAGGACCTATCTGATGAATCCCACTCTTCTGCGTGCTGTACAATTTACCGGGCCATCCTGAAAAGTTAAACTCCTGCTCCTCGCCCACTTTCTGCCTTTTGGTCGTCTGGTAGCTAAAACCCAGCAGGGTGCTGGTGTAAAAACATGTACATTCAAAATAAATGCTACGATGATTTAATTTAGCTCCACGGTTGTAGAAACGGCACGGAAACGCAGAAGTTCTTATTGCGGCAGTCGTCTGGAGTTCGCTGTGGGAAATCCCGGAACACAAAGCGGACGGGAACACTGAGCGGGTCTGTCAGCTCTGTGTGACGCTGCATGCTTAGCGTTCAGGCTGCAGTTGTCATGGGAAGTTTTGGCTGAACATTTGTATTGATGCGGACTAATGGGCTGCATCAGTCTCTGAGGGCAAAGCCCGCTTTCCAGGGTGCGTATTTGCATGCACATTTATCAGCAAAAGCCTGCCTGTGGCCATCAGCCTGTGGTGACAGACAGGTGGACACCACTGATCCAGACAGTTGCGCTTCGAATAGATCAGGTGTCTGTCTTTAGTTTGATTCCTGTCTCTAAATCCTCTGCTGCAGCAGTGAGCTGATTCAGCCAATGTGTGATGATGAAAGTCAACAGATTGACATGAGGAAACTAATGAGCGCTAATAAAAAGGATGGCCTCCATCTTCATGAAATCCAACCCTTTTCATTTCTGAAATGGATAAAACGGCAAAGAACAGTTTTTAACGCTGTGTGTTGTGCATTTGTTGTATGGCGAAAACAATGATGTTTACCAGCCTTGTTTTCTGTAACGCAGGAGGCCAAGCCAGGATGAACGGCGAGTCAGGTGCCGGAGTGGTGACGGCCCCGCCGCCCACCACAGCCCCGCACAAGGAGCGCTACTTTGACCGGGTGGATGAGAGCAGTCCCGAGTACCAGAGGGAGAGGAACATGGCGCCTGACCTGCGACAGGATTTCAACATGATGGAGCAGAGGAAAAGGGTTTCCATGATCCTGCAGAGCCCAGTGAGTCGGCGCGTTTACGGGACGCTGAGGGAGAACGACCACAGCAAGACCTTTAGAGCAAATGAAAAAACATGGTTGTCATAGGACTATTTTTATTATCAAATCAAACTTCTGCGGGACAATGACACTGGTCCTGTTACCAGGCGGGTCCCGTCTTTCAAAGCAATACAAAAAGTCGAATTTTAGTAATTCAGAAACTGAAAGTCTTAGCGTGAACATTCTGATTTAGAGGAACACGAGCAGCCCTCTCTGGATCACATGCCTGATCCAGCTCATTCCTCATTAAACAACGCGTCCGTGGCCAGCTGATGGCTCGGTACACACTGAAGCTCTGTTTGAAAACGCAGATATATCAGAGAGTGAACACGCATCTCAAATGGTGCATTCGTGAATTGTTGCACATCTAAGTCCCTTACCCTTTTATTCTTTCCTAATCAGGCACATGTACATTTGAATAGTTCTCCTGATTCATGCACACATGTGGTTAAATGTTTAATGCATCTGTTGTGCACATTCAAAAAGTCAAACTGTTTCCTAACTGTGTGTGTGTTTTTATTCGTCGCTGCGCTCACGATGACTGGCAGGCGTTTTGTGACGAGCTGGAGACGATGATCCAGGATCAGCTGAAGAAGGGGAAGACGCCCACCAGCCTGCTGGCGCTGCAGCAGATCGCTGACTTCATGACCACCAACATGCCTTCCATGTATCCCGCTGCACCCCAAGGAGGAATGGCAGCGCTCAACATGAGTAAGAAGAGAAGGGAAATGTGTGACTTTTTGAACCCAGTCCTGCTATGCATGTGCTCATTATGAGTGATGCAGCAGATGCCAGAAATGCTGACCGGGAAAGGAATCCGAATGGATTTCAGTAGGCAAAAAGCATTAGATTCATCCAGTTTAAAGATATAAATAAATACATTTAAAAAGTGATTTATACATTTATTTTTTACTCACAACCTTTAGTATTTTAGCCTCTTTTGCCCTCACATTTAATGAATATTGTCGTCTTGCGTCCTTCTCTCAGGTTTGGGGATGGTGACTCCGGTCAATGATCTGCGTGGCTCAGACTCCATTTCCTACGACAAGGGCGAGAAGATACTCCGCTGCAAGCTGGCTGCCTTCTATCGACTGGCCGACTTGTTCGGCTGGTCCGAGCTCATCTACAACCACCTCACAGTACGAGCCGTCATCCCACCTTTTGAAATTAATCTGTTCCCATTGAAGGAGCAGTCACTCAGCAGTCTCCTTAAAATGCAACTCTTGAAGTTATTTTGTTCTTTCCATCCTTATAAAAACACGTTTGGACACACAACAAAGGAACTTTGCAAACTGGTAGCAAGTAGTTGTTGTAAGTCAAATCTGAACAATTAGGAAAATAAGAATTAACATGTTCTGACAAGAGAAAAGTTCCAGTCATAAGTAGTGGAAATGGTCAGTTTTTGCTGTTGTCCTTCAAGGCTACCTTGAAGTATGTAAAATATTTCCTAAGCCTTCAATGTTCAGATTATGTTAAACCAGTACTTTTAACCAATTATCTATGGAATGAGCTAATTTAAGACACCTTTCCGCTGTGGTAGGTCAGGGTGGGCTCGGACGAGGAGCGGTTCCTTCTCGTCCCCTTCGGGCTCCTTTACAGTGAAGTCACTGCTTCCAGTCTGGTAAGAATCAGTCCAAATCTTTTAATAGAAAATTGGTTCTGTTTTTCTACTGCTTTCCTGATCATGTGGTTGAAAATGAGTGTAAAGGAGGCTTCACGGCCCCTTTGGTTTGTGTCTTGCCCTGCAGGTGAAGATTAACATACAGGGTGAAATAGTGGACCGGGGAAGCACCAACCTGGGAGTCAACCAGGCCGGCTTCACCCTCCACTCCGCCATCTATTCTGCACGCCCTGATGTCAGATGTATCGTACATATTCACACAGCAGCAGGCGCTGCGGTAAGAAGCTCACATCCCTTTTTACCAACAATGAAAGAGTCTTATCAATTGGTCACATGACGCTGCGTCCTACCTCAGGTTTCGGCCATGAAATGTGGGCTGCTGCCCATCTCACCCGAGGCGCTGTCACTGGGTGAGGTGTCCTATCATGACTACCACGGTATACTGGTGGATGAGGAGGAAAGCGCCATCATCCAGAAGAACCTGGGGCCGAACAGCAAGGTAACAGCAGTGTAACCGAAAGAAAAGGGAAAAGAAAGGAGAAATATTTGCTCCGCAGCTGAGTTCTTGTTTTGTTTTTCCCTTGTTTTAGGTTCTCATCCTAAGGAATCATGGTTTGGTTTCTGTTGGAGAAACAGTGGAGGAGGCTTTTTATTACATCCACAACCTGGTCACTGCCTGTGAGATTCAGGTAGGACACACCTGGCTTTATAAGGGCAGCGTCATACTTATCTTTTGTGAATCTTTTTGCAGTGCTCCTCTTTACATAATTTTCATTTTCCCAGGTGCGAACACTGGCCAGCGCTGGGGGTCCAGATAATCTGGTGATGCTGGATCCGGCAAAGTATAAGTCACGCCCGCGGGTCCCTGAACCTGCCGGGGATGGGTCTGCAACACACCCTAAGTGGCAAATTGGGGAGCAAGAGTTTGAGGCCCTCATGAGAATGCTCGACAACTTGGTAAATATGAAGATTTGTGGTTGTTAGCCGTGTTAGAACCTGAATTTGGGGTTACACTACCTAAAAATGTTCTGTGAAAAACTTTTCAAATTTTTATTTTAAGGACATTTTCCACACCACTTTAAGAATTTTTGGACACAATCCTGGATTATCTTCATTGTGGGGCAATGCCAGAAATGATGAAACTTATTTAGTGTCATGTTGAATTTTATCCCCCATTTTCTGACCTTTGCTCCATGTCCTGTCCAGGGCTATCGGACGGGCTATCCTTACCGCTGCCCGGCACTGCGAGACAAAGGTAAAAAGTACAGTGACGTGGAGATGGCCTCCTCCGCCCATGGTGGTTACACATATGGGGAGGACAGTGACTCCGGTGCTCGCTCCCCACTGAAACACAGCTTCCAGCGCGGCCAGCGTGACAAGACCCGCTGGCTTAATGCCAGCGGACGGCCCGACGAGCCCTTCGAGGACGGGCCCGACGGCAACAGCCCCAAGTCGAAGCCTAAGGTGTGGACGAACATAACACATGATCACGTCAAACCCTTGCTGCAGTCTCTCTCGTCCGGTGTCTGCGTGCCAAGCTGTATAACCAACTGCTTGGTCTGTGCCTACCTTATTGTTCATAGTATAGATTTTACAGCCACCTTGATGGTGGAAATCAGTAGGTGGTCGGCATCCTGAGCGTCTGGGGACAGTGAAAAGTAAAACATCAGAAATGATGAAAATATCTATGTTTGATCAGACTTTGTTGTGAACTCGGTTAAATCATTGTCTTTGCTACTTTAAAAAAAATATTTTTGGCTCAGTCACTGTAATTTCAGATATGCTGTGAGCTTACCTCTCTATTGTAGACACTCTGTACTTACTAGCTGCGATTGGTTATTTCCCTTCAGTTTCTGGATGCGTCACGATGCCGGGCCGCCTGCCCCCAGCATGTCCCACTGCATGCATTGTAGTGAAATGCATTGTTTGTGTTGATGTTTTTCCCAGAGGAGCGAGCAGCAGGGGTGTGGAAGACAAGGGGATGCTGCTGCTCACACTGCTCACCACACCCGTTGGCCCTTAATTCTGTCTTTGCATCTTGACATACTTTCTTGGCTTACTTAGTAGCTTAAAGATGAGCCAGGCAAATTGGAGTTTTAGGAAGAATTAAGGCTTTATTTTAACAAATGGATATATAGAATTACTTTATGAACTTATTAATAAATGCTTTACACATTTCAGAGTGTAAAGGAGGAAGTTAGCATGTCTGTGATGCCTTTCTTTCCTAGAACGACAGATATATTCCAGGCAATTGTTAGGAAATTAAGGTTGTGCAGAAAAGCTGAAATTTCTTTGGCAAGAGTTATGCAAGCCTGCCTTTGTGAAGTTTTTTCTTTTCTTTTTTCTTTTCTTCAGATAATTGCAACTACTTCCAGTTGCATGTCCGCAGATATTGTTTTATTTTCTTATTCTGGCTCCAGATTTATTTAGAAGGATTCTATGAACACCTCAAAGCTTGCATGAGTGGATTTGTCTTTGGGGGGGAAAAAATTAAGGAAAAAAAAAAACTCATACAATTTGATCTGACCTTTCAATCAATTATCTCCTGTTGGGAAAGTAGGAAAATGTTGTGTTGTGAGACTCTTTCTCAGTGAGTATATCGTGTTTACATGTTCATCTCATACTCAACCAACCCAACCCAACCCAGCTTTTCCCATCCAGATTTCCTTCTTCATCTAGCCCCAGGTTTGGCAGGTCACCAGCCAGGCCTGGCGTAAATAAAGGAATGAGCTTATGCTTTCCACCTCGAGTTGCATTTTTAATTTTGGACCTCGGTTGGACAGGACATTTTGCATGAGGACCTGTTGTTTCTTTCTTCACCTGCTGCTCATTCAGTGCGGTGCAAGAGACGGGTGCAGATTTCCCATCATAGCGCTGAGCATTACCAGGTTCACAAAAACGCTGTTGTGTAAAAAGCACTGATTAAAGGCAACTCTTTGTTTAGCTGGACGATAACAGGTTTCATCCTCTGCAGGATGGATGTTCTTAGTTTGTAGATTCCAGACAATGGCCCTTCGTTTTATGTCCCAAAGAACAAGAAACTGTTCTCGGGTGTGTTTTTTTTCTTTTTCTTTTTCTTTTTTTTTTGTTCCTCTTATCTCTGTCGTCCTTGTTGTTGTGTATCAGCCTGGAAAATGACTTTGGTGATGCCAGCTCACCCCTCACCCCCACTCTCGCTTCGTAAGCCAACCTCATCGTCTCAGTCAGCCATTTCTCACTCCTCCCCCACTTTTTGCCACCACCCACCCCTCACTTTTCCCTCCCACCCCTTTACCATTTTTTCATAATGCGATTAATGCTGTAATGCTTTCAGTCGATTTTTCAGTGACTGTTTTCCGTTATTTTTTTGTTTATTGCATATCAATGATGATGATATTCTTGTGAATTAAGCTTTCATCCATTTTTAATCTGTATGTAGCTGATAACCATATCCTCTGACGACCTTTAGGTTTATTGTGATTTATAAAAAAACGATTTGTGAATACTTTGAAAAACTAAACGACTCAGGCTAGCACATTTAATTCACCATGCTTGTCGAACAATAAAATGTTCTTAGAATTCAACATTAGTAACACAAGATGTTGTATACTTGGCAAAAATAAGAGTAAGAAGATGGAGGTGATGTAGGTTAATGATATCTATTTAAAAATGAATCACAATTTTGTTATTACTGGTTTGTAAACAGGCACCAACAGTGTCACGTGAATAGAAGCCACTGTTAATTACTGACTTTCTAAAAACATAAGTTAAGTTTGTATACCCTATTGCAATTGGGCCTCATCATCATTGGTTCACTTATTATATATTTTTTTTACATTTGGACCTTCATCTTTTTTGCTTTTAAACAGTCATCAGTCAGTTTTCCTTTCAGCATGATTCTTGTATTGTGAAGCCTGAATTGTTTTATATCTAAATATATTTTTGTGCCTGGTTTTTGTGTCGGTGACACTGGTGGTAGCCGTTTCTAAGACTGTATGTGGTGTTTACAGTGGAATAAGGAGGATGGACTCCGCCAGGCTGCCGTAGCCAATCAGTTCATTCCAATGAACACAAATCCAAAGGACGTCCTGGAAATGAGAAATAAGGTATCTCACGCTTCTTGTATTTGGCCTGGTTATTACTTTTGATCAGTTAATGTTCTTGCTGTTGTACTCTGAGGGGCATTGGCTACCTCATTCACATAGAAGCAGGAAACACTATGTTTGCCACCCTTTCTTTATGAGTTAAAATGTCTTTATAGATCCGGGAGCAGAACTTACAGGACATAAAGACAGCAGGGCCCCAGTCTCAGGTTCTGTGTGCCAGCTCTGTCGGGGACCGCGCCTTCAATCAGGTCAGTTTGTGGATTCACCACTTAAATGCATCGCTACAACAACATTCCTGACCTGGAGATGAATATGTATCTGATATGGGTTAGTTGCTGTTTAGGCTTATTGTTTCTCTGGTCAGAGCATGAAAATTAATCTTAAAATGTCTGGGTACTTTCAGTCCAGGTCTGGAGTTTGCTCGGAAATAAAAATGCTGCAATATTGTGCATGAACTTATCCTGGACACTGAGCTGCAGTTACACAATTTCAGCAATGTCTTGCTTGACATCACTTACTCCAAAGTGACATTATCAGAGAGCAAAAACATGTCCTCCATGTTGTTTACTAGTGCATGGGGTGACTTTGTAACTCTGACATTATTTCTTGGCCACAGCAAATATCAGTTTTGCAGGTGAGTAGTTTGTGAGAGAGGTAACCACCACCCCCTCTCCTCACCAGACCTGCCAGCCCAGGCTGTGTCCATGTCCATGCATCAGTTCATAGAAATACGTTCTTCATATTATTTCTTTGGGCATTTTTCTTTGGTTTGTCTCGTTTTGGCTGTCGGCAGAAACGGCAGAAACAAAATCCCCATTATAGTTTCTTTTTCTTTTATTTTTTTCCTCCCATTGGCGCATGTGCTCTTTTCTCTCTTTAGAGAGAAAAATAAGCAGATCCCAAGAACTTCTTTGGTGGCTCTGTTTGCATGGCTCGCCCCTCGGTTACTGTGGGGTAACTTGCTTATTTCCAACATGTGTTGGATGGATTGGAAGGTTTTGTCCTGAACACCGTGAGGAGCCGGGCACGAGCAGCTATTAAACCCGAAAGGACCATTTAAAGATGCTCTGACTCGTATTAGATTATGTATTTCATAACATTTAGCTGCCTTTTGCCTGCAGCGCATGCTCGTTGCTAAATGCCCCACCGCTGCCTTGCTTTTCATAAATCTTCCCTTTCCAGAGCCGTCTCTCTTTGCATGTACTGTAAGTGCGAGTGTGTGTGTGAATGCATAATTGGGGTGTCACAAAGGTCAAGTGTAATCTTAATCTCCCCCTCCAGTCATCTAATTGAGGAGGTAGAACTACATTATGCAAAATGTTGCAATGCAGTCTGTAAAAAAAAAAAAAAAAAAAAAAAGAAATCTCTATTTTCATGTGACATGTTTCACATTCTTTCCCCTTTGTGTGTGTATGTTTGTAAGATGTTGCCTTTGTGTGTCAGAGCATATTCAGGACTATCTGATATACTGCTAAGTTGACTGTGCTCAGTTGTTCCCCCCTTACTGGGTTTGCTATTGCAGGATGCCCCTCTGTCTGACTGTACAGACACTATTGACGGCCTTGATGTGTCCGAGGGGTCCTATAGTCCTGCTAAATCATTTAGAAAGGTACTTATTGCTCCAGTCACAAATACTTTGATCTCCAGTGGGACATAAAGGCATCTCCACCCCTGGGCAAAATTTATTTTGCTGTTTTAAAACTCTGCAAGTTTATCTTGAGGGTTTTTGTTTTTTTATATTGAATTATTTTTCCTTTAATTACTCAAGTGGCTGCAAACACAAAATTTCTCTGTGCTTAACAGTTCTTTCCTTTTTTTAATGCTGAAACCCTTTACTCTGTCCTTTTTTTATTTGTGGGGTTTTGATTTTCTTTTCTTCAGAAAGTTTTCATTTTAATTTAGAAAAATCTGCAGATCTTACATTTATATTAGAAAGATGGGAACAGCCTGTTGGTCATCTAATAATCATTTTCCAAACAGAGGTGTGTCTCCAGTCTTTTGGCCCTGCAGTCAATCATCAGCACTTCAAAATGTTCTGCAGATTTCACTGAGGGGAGTCCTTTCCTCATGTCCCCCTTTGCGTTCCTCTGTGTGTCCTGAAGGGCGAACTTGTGACCGCATCCAAGGCTATTATCGAAAAGGAGTACCAGCCCAAGGTTATCGTCAGCAAGCAGGGTCCAAACCCCTTCACCAAGCTCACCGACCAGGAGCTGGAGGAGTACCGCCGAGAGGTGGAGCAGAAACAGAAAGGAGGTGAAGGTAAAGGCAGACAACCGGCATCCTCCTTTATAGCCTTATCGTTTAGTGGCTGTTCAGCTTTTAGCACTCGGTTTCATTTAAAGAGAAAGTCGCATCTGGGGAAAGTATGTATCTTTGGGGTTGTGGTCAAAACCCCCGAATCTCTCATACAGCGTTCTTGTTCTTGCATTGTTTTTGTTTTTTAAAGTACCAACATTCATGCACCAGAATGCGCAACCCCTGTAAAATTCAGACTGGCAAAAAAAAAAAACTATGTTGTTTCTCCACACACTTGCACACATGGATTCATAGTGCAGGGCCGAGGCGGTTGTAGGGAGGGATCATCCTCCAGTGCGCCCAGTCCAGAGCCTGGAGCGGTTGACGAGGGTCAGACCTCCACACCTCCGCATTCGCCCGACTCTCCCAACGCGGGGAAACCCAAGCCCCCAGCTCCCACCCCAGCGTCCGAGCAGAGCTCCCCCCGTCAGAGCCTGTCAGGAGAGCCCATGCCAGCTCCGAGTGGCGCCGACTCTGCCGGGACATTAGCGGACGATGTTTTTTCAGCCACAGACGAGGGGTTTTCGGCTCCGGGTTCGCCGCAGAAGGAGTTCCACAGTGCCGTGCTGCGAGCCCTCAGCAAGGAGCCGCTGGCGGTAGAGGCAGCTAAGGCAGATCAGGCTCCAGGTACACCAGACGAAGCGGAATCTAGCCCACGCTCTGGCCTTCCACTCCCAAACCTCCCCCGTCCAGCCCCCGGGTCCATTCTTAACCACATCCCTCTTCACCGGGACGTTGGGAATCCCTGCCTGCTGTTTCCTCTACTTTCTCTGAGGGTTGGGAGTCTGCTGCTAATGTCTGACCATCTGCAAGCACCCTCCACAACCACGTTTCAGTCTGTGAAGCCTTTGTTTGATTGTTTTTGCCCTTCATATCCCCCCCTCTTCCCCTCAGTCTCTGATGTCTTATCCAAAGGCATCAGAGCTCTGGCAGATTCGATTAGCTTCCTGCTGTTTGATTGGACAGAGCTGAAAGGGAGAGGATGTTTCCTTTAAGTCGAGCTGATTTCGATATTAAAACTTCTATTAAGGCTCTCTCTCCTTCTGAAAAGCGCCTCAGAGAAATGACGTACTGCTTTTTGAGGAAGCTGCATCTGAGCTCAGCCATCCAATCAGATCATCCCATGTGTGGAAACAAATACTGGTCCTTCCGTTCCTGCTAACCTGCCTTGGTTTTCTGATATATTTTCTTCCTTATTTATTTTAAGAACCTAATCATTGAATCTTTTTTTTTTTCCTCTCATTTTTCTTATGGTTGATTTGGTGGAAAGAGTTTGCGGAAGTTTGAGGTGTTCTACCTAGTTTGGGTCTTTGTGTTGTCCTCCCTTCTGTTGCTGGTGTTGGCACAAGCTGATTTATATACAAAGTATGTCTTTTTACAAAATAATTGATGGAAAGAAAGGACAACTAATGTATATAAATGAGAATTCGTTATGTTTTGAATGGTGTTTTTCAGGTGATAAATGGCTCCGAACTTCTGATTTTCCTTCAGATCCAGAGCAACTGATGGAGTCAGAGGAGGAGGCCAAAGGCCCAAAAGCTACGTCCACACCACCCAGCACCCCAGTCAGAGCGGAAGAGGGTAAGTTAGCTGAGCTAGCCTGATCTCGCCTGGTCCAGCATGGGTTTTCTGGCTTGGGTGTTACTACAACCTCCACAGGAAGGCTCTTTCCTCTCCGCCTGCCTGTCTGTCGTGGGGTCTTTTGTTGTGGTATTTAATATTACTACTCCCAATTGTTTGTGCTGTGTTTCTGTAATAACAGGCCAAGAGGTTTTTGATTTTGCTTTTAGGTTAGGGTAGTGGAAAGCTATGGAGTAATCCACCAAAAATCTGAAGAAATTAACATATTAAATAGAAAAATGGTTTTCAATTTTTTCATTTGAGTTTTTTTAAGCACCACAGGGCAGATCTTTATTTTTATTTTCTCCCTCTTGGTCTTTATTACCATTGGATTACACCTATGTTACCAGTATCAGTCCAGACGCTACAAGATGTGGCCTTCAAGGCCAGAATTTTGGATTAGTAGTAACATTTTACTTAACAGTTTTCTGAAGATAGGTAAAATAAGTTGGGTGTTGGTGTGAGGGGGAGAAGGGATAACTGTCTTTGAATGTGGGTGTAATCTAATATCAGAAAATGTTGGTATTTAACTCATGTCTTTGGACTGTATCTCCTATCCCCTTCACTTCCATTCTCCATCTTTTTTTTTTTAGTCGACTAAGAATGGTTCCCAACCATTCTTCCTAATTTTCTTTTTTGTTTAACTTTTTATTTTATTTTTCCACATTGATTACTTTTTTTAATTTAACACAGTGCCTGTGGTTTGATCTGCATAGACATTTGTTTCTACTTGTGCTTTTTCTTCTTTGTGGCTGCGTTTTCAATCAGGAGATGGAAATTCAAAAGAGTACCTGTTGCCATAGTAAGTATGTACTGTTCCACCTCCTCGCCACTTTACTAATTACAGCTCACCCTCCATGCTTGTGTTTTGTCTTTTACCTCCCCTCCCTTTATGTATTTTCCTATGCATGGCTTCAGTAGAGGAGCTTCTCTGTGGTCTGAACTAATCCATTTGTTATTTGTTGGGGTTGTGACTGTTGACATGGTTTACTAAACTCCAGACTTGAGGTTGGTGGAGGTTATTTCACAGCTTCTTCCTGTTTTAGTGGGTGAATTAACAAAGGTGGTAAAAAAAAAAAAATGCAAGAACAGTTGCTTTGAGAATCTTTCCCATGTACTCCTGCAATATGACCTATTTTTTTTCCTGCTCAGCAAAAATAACCATGACTTAAACTGAAGTGAAAGAAGCTGCTGAAGTAAACTTTCCAACCTGCTCAGTCTTTTACGTTAGTTAACCTCTTTCTCCTTCCTGCCAGTTATTCACTGTCCTATTAACCAACCTCTCTCTCACATGAGCACTCTCTATAAATGTTAATAGAACACTATATGCTTCTGTATATTCTGTAAAAAGAATCCAGCAATGGTTTTGAAGATGTGTTGACATGTCTGTCTTGCAGGCGAGTCCTTTACCAGGTACATCAGAGCTTTATGTGTGTGTGGCTTTCCTACCGAACTGGCTGCCGTCGGTCTATCCTGACACATGGTCGATAGTTTCCATTTTCTGTGTTTGTGGTGTTCGACCTGCTCTCTGTTCCGATAGGCTGTTGAGCTGTTAAAAAAAACCCCAGAATGATGCACAGTGTTCTCCTGTTTCGCAGCAGTGTCTGCCGCATGAGAGCTGTTTTAAAAACCAATAAAGCCGTTGCCCTGCAGCTAAGCAGCCGCTTGTAGCCGGGTTATGGGTGCTGCCTTTTGAAGTGAAGCCGGCCCTCTGGATGCAGCGCAGATATCTTCTTCTGTTTTTGTTTTGTTGCGAGTATTATTTTTGTGTGTATACTTGCTCAAAATGTGAGGGGTTGTCGTCTATTCTCCACCAAATTTGACCTGGTTGTAATTGTTAAAACCTTTCTGAAGCCAAAGCCCTCGCCCTCTGCATCAGAGCTATGTTTATGCGAGTATAAAATGGAGACATTTTAGTTCAGACACTTCAGGCTGTATATTTTTCCCCTTCTTTTTGGACGGGTTCCCTATTGAAAGAAAACATTTGAGGGGGAAGTGAACTATATTTATTAAGCAAAGCCTTCTCCACATTGGGTCTTGGTTTCTTTACTCCCAACATCTGGATTAAACTGCACTAATTGCTGGCTGAGAAACTGGCTTCTGTTAATGATTTGTGACTTATTGCTTCTGGAGTGCTGCTTCGGGGTTGACATTAATTGGCTTTAACCCTGGCTCGATGCACCTGTATGTTTCTTAGATAAAGAAAAAGGCCTTTGTGTTGAGGATTATCACTTCTGTTTGTTTTTGTTTTTGTTTGTACACAGGGTACAAATGAGCAAGGGAACTGCGCTCATTAAGATTTCCCTGTGCAAAGGAAGGTAAAAGAAAAGCGCTGTGTGCTAACTCGGGCGTCAGAAAGTGAGAGGGAATCCTGATGAATGAAAGCATTGCTTTTTTGCTATTTGTGAACAGAAGCTTCGCAGCTTATGAATGTTGTGTCAAAGGTGCTTTTTTTAGTTGGATCTGAGGAAAGTTGCAGGTTAAGTTATTTATCTTAAGGCGGTACGCTTACAGTTCTAGTTAGGCAGTTGCCTTGAGCTCGTCTGTTGATTTAACACAGTGACAAGTCGTTAGAAGGTGTGCGTTTTGTACAGATTACCCAGCGGTCGATGTCTGGTAGCTTCTCTCTCGTGTCAGCTGATCCATCAGCTCGTCTTCTAAGATTGGTAACTCTCTCCTAACTCCTCCCACCAGAGTCTCTGCCAGAACTGACCTATAAGGATGAGAGCGACGCGGCCACCCTGAGACAGACCCTTCCAGATCTAACCCCCGACGACCCCTCCGACGCTCCAGCGCTCCCCGCTGAGGACTCCGCCCCCACGCCGGCCCCAGCAGACGCAGCCGAGGCGGAGGACCCCGCTGAGCCTGGAGACCAGGACGGGGACGAGTCTCCCAGCAAGTCGCCCTCCAAAAAGAAAAAGAAGTTCCGCACTCCTTCCTTCCTAAAGAAAAACAAAAAAAAGACTGAGTCGTAGATGGAGAATGTTGGATCGGTCCTCAAGGCTGGCGTCTGCCTCTCTCCATTTTAGCTTTTTGTCTTTCGCCATTTCACCCTTTGAGCGAGCCACACTTACACGCAGTTATGCTTTTTGTTGTTTTGATATAATTTGCCGCTGGCTTATTAACCCATTTTCCTTGTTAGTGTGTGCCAATTTTGTATACATTGTAAAAACGATTGCTTAAAGGTTTTTAATTGATAGAGGCTTTTGGCTTTGAGTGATCTATTGAGCTGTCTTGTCCACTCCACCTGACCTTTTATGCATGTCTACTACTGCAGACCCACACATTCTGTCAGACAGTAGGGTTTTATCCCACTTTTTTCTTTATTCTCTATGTATTATTTAACCATTGTAACCACTAGAATGTATTGGGATTGTACTAAACTATGTCGGAAGTGTCTTTAGGAAAAATGCACCATTGCAGAAAGAGCAGCTCGGACTGGCTCACTAATCTGGAGGCAAATTCAAACACTGAAAACCACCAATGCTACTTTTACTGCTTGTATCCCTGAAACTATACATTCATCTAATTACATGTCGGCGGACGATGAGAGCCACAGACAGATTGTGTTAAAGTTAAGGAGTGGTTTTCAATTAAATCATTACAAAATGTTTAAGCTTATTCACGCTTTTTTTAAAACTCCATCTTCTTCCAACAAGATGTTCACACGAACCATTAATATTTTTTTATCTTTCTGTAATCATTGAAAAAAAATATATTCATTTGTCACCATTTATGCAAAACTGAAGACAATATTGTGAGAACCTCTGATGTGGATTGTAGTTCACATGGGTTTTTCCATGCCTGGTGTGCTTTTTAAGTGGAGGCTTGATGCGGCGTTATTGCCTCTGGCTGTAAGTCTGTTGATGAAGGAATGTGTACATTTGTATTTAGCATTCGGATGACTTGGGCTTTGCCTTTGTTTTGGATTTGCTTTTTATTCTCGATTTCTGGTCCATGCTTAAGTCATAAATCGGCATCAGTTCCACGTATAACTAAATGAAATGCCTTTAGTTTTTGATCATGTCTGTTTTCTTTTTTTTTCTCCCTCGTGCTTTTCGTTAAAATAAACTGAGTCATGAGTATTTGCTGTGAGGTGGCACAGTGACCCTCACTGTCTAAACCACTGTTTCAACCACTCGTGATCAAATCTGGAAGACGTGAAAGCACTGTGGTGGCAAAGCTGCATGATCAATCATATCTCATCAGTTCCCTTTAGTTAAACACTATTCTTAGCAGAAAGCACTGAATACATGTTTGTTTTTTTGTTTTTTTACCTGTGTACAGCAAAGATGGCAAACTTGGGAGAAATCTTCCTTTTAAAATAAAATTGTTTTATGTTTTTGTTTCGTCACTGTAATCGGTAGATTGCAGAGGAGTTCAGTTTGGAAGCTGCAGGGGCATTAATACTCGGCCATTTTTTGTTTTTCCATCTGGGGAACGGTGTAAGATCTGACCTGCATCTAAAGTGCGGCCCTTGATCGACACATGCTTTACTCAAAGCACTACTTTACAGAAGAAATCAAATGTGAACATCCTGAAGGATTCAATATGACGTGCCCAGAGTGTGCTGACCCCATTGTATTTTATTTAGTTTTATTTGCTTTTGTGTGCTGGTAATAATGTCCCAAAAGTCATTTCGGTCAACATGAAGTAACTGAAACTGTTTCTTCTGTTTTAAGTTATACTGGTTTGTCTCATCACTATTCCATCTACAGACTAATCACCTTTTTTTTGTGTTTGTTGTATTTTTTTTGTCATGCTTCTGCCTCTTATACAACCGTGAATAAAAACAAACAAAAAACTACCTAAAAAAGCATCTGATTATTTCTAGAAAGTCAGTTATTGCTGTCATCGATTTGCTCAGAACAGAACTGTGAAAACAGTTCATCATATGATTAAATAATAATAGAAAATCATTTGAATTTTAAAAATCTAAACTGATCATTGAACGTAAATATCCTGAACTTCCTGTTTCAAACGCTTGGGGGCGCTGTAGGGAAATATCTTGGAGGAAGTAGCTCTCTGCTTCGCCACTTTGAACCCTGACCTGCAGCGGTGCACGCTGGGAAATTGTAACTCAATGAAGAAACGTGGGTAGAAAAATACCTAAACAATTATGTGTTAAATTGTGTGTCGACAGAGATAAATTACCCGGTTTTATTCCGACTGAATGTAAGAGTTGGTCTGCTCAACACGACTGAAATGTAAACATCTTCTTTATATGCTAATGTGTGTTTGTTTACGATTTGTTAGTTAAGGTTTCAATGTAGATAGCTAGTGTGGCTTGTTATGCTAGATAAACGTCATTATTTATACTGTAGATTAGCTCAGTGTTTATCTAAAAATCTACTGCAAATGAACTAACTTTAAACTAATGTAAACTAGAGCCTCTCTTTGCCTCCATAAAGTTTCAGATCTTTTAACTCTTAATTTTTCTCTATTTTAGATCTACAAATTCAAGTTTCTGAAGAGACTTAGAGTTATCAAGTTACAATCGTTATTCCCTTTCTTGTGCTGTAGATGGGGAAGCCTCCGAAGAAGAAGAGCCTTGCTGACAAAGTCCGCAAAACCAAGACGAGCACAGAGATAAAAAACAATCCGTTTGAGGTCAAAATCAACCGTAAAAAATTCGATGTCCTGGGTCGAAAAACTAAGCATGATGTCGGTCTGCCCGGGGTTTCTCGGTCCAAAGCCAATAATAAGGTAATAGAAAAGTTCTTCTTCCTTTACACTGCACTCTGACCTGTTATTTCATTGTAATCTGGAGTAAACATTTAGATGTGTGTATTTTCTATTTGCTGCTATGGATGGTGCCATGAAAGCAATTTAAAACAAAATGGGGAGCACATTATATTCCATTTACTTCAATAACTGGAGTCTATAAATTGACAGAAGACAAAACAGGACTAATTTGTTAAAAACACTATAATGCCGCGATTACCAGGTTGTAGTGAACTGATCTGCTTTACGTTCTGCAAAAGGAATCTGGATTTAATGGACAGATTTGCTTAATCTGTCGTCCACACATATTACCCAGTAAACTCAGCCTTCGTCATTTGTTACTTTTTATTTGCCAATGTGCGAATAACAAGGGATAACTGTTTGAATTGAAGCCATAGAACGGAAAAGTGGTTGTTAAACACAGCAGAGTAAAGAGAAAGAAGGCATATTTTTTAATGAAGAGTCAAACTTTCTATGATAGAGCTAGATCTGGCATCTGCTGTCCTGTGAGTACCATCAGTTTAACACTGTCTGTGCTGTGAATCCTGGTGCTCACATCGCATGCTGAGAGAAATCATTTTCAAGAGTTGCTGAAATGATTTGTGAAAAACCGGAGCCAGTTTTAAAAGAGGAGAAAAGTCAAGTCTTCATTCAAAGTGCACCTATTTGTTGGTCTTTCTGTATAATCTGTGGCTTATTTAAGGTGTTTTTCTCTTTCTTTTTCTCTCTTTTTTCTTTTGCAAAAAGTTGAAACGAATCATAATAGTGGCTGCTTTTGTTTTTCTTTATTAGAGAAAGGAAACCCTCCTGAAGGAATATAAACAGAAGAACAAGTCCAACAAGTTAATTGACAGACGTCTCGGAGAATATGACGCCAAGATGGATCCTGAAGACAAAATCCTACAGAGGTTCACCATGGAGAGACAGGTCAGTGTTGGGACTAACAGAAAAGAAGGCTGAAGCCCTTGAAGGCATTTTGTGTCCTACATAACGACGTGACAAGGCTTTTTCACAGTGAAACTAAACCTTTCACATCTCTCGAATGTTAGCGTGTTCACGAAAAGAAGGATGTGTACAACCTGAACGAGGAAGAAGAGTTGACTCATTATGGCCAGTCACTGGCTGAAATGGAGAAGTTCAATGACGTCGTGAATAGTGACGATGAATCGGAGGAGAAAGGGCTCTTATCAGGTGAGTCCCAACTCAGTGGATGAAACACAATCCTCAGTTTGCTCCTCATTGATCTGAAATCTTCTAATTTTCATCAAGTACTGTTTTTATTGGAGGTGCCATTATAGTCGAATAAGTTCCTAATGGCTTTTAAAAAAAAATATGTATCATCGTTTTTTTTTTATGTCACAGTGATGTATTTTAAACAATATTTGTCTTTCTCACCTAGCTGAGCTGACTGCCGCCCACTTTGGAGGAGGAGGGCTCCTCAGGAAGAAAGCACCAGGAGAGGAGGAGGAAGGAAGCCAGAGGGCCAGGACCAGACAGGAGCTCATTGAAGAGCTCATCCAGAAGTCCAAGCAGGAGAAGGTGAGCAAGCAGTTGGGTTTTATTAAAGCTCTCATTTGTCCGGATGTGCCGTCGTGCTGCCAGATGTTTATTCTTGGATGTTGGCTAAAAGTTGGGTGTATTTTAGAATTGAGCTGATCAACGTATGCTGATGACATGACTGTTTTTTTGTGTGTTCTCAGAGGGAACGGCAGGTGCAGAAGGAGGAGGCACAGGAGCTGACTGAGAAGCTGGATCAGGACTGGAAGAGCATTCAGTCTCTGATGGTGAAAAAAACTCCCAAAGCCGAACGCATTGACAACCCAGAGGAGAAACCCAAGGTTGGTATCCAGACTTTCACCCGCCGTCTCTCCGCCGTCTCGCCGGCCACGTGACAGTCGGACATATTTCACCCATTTCTTGATCTCTGTTCACTCCAGCTGGAAGAGTACGACATGATGGTCCGCGAGCTCGGCTTTGACATGAAGGTTCAGCCCTCGGAGAAGATGAAGACTCCGGAGGAGCTGGCCAGGGAGGAGCGGGAGAAGCTGCAGAAGCTGGAGGTGACCGCGCGCACATCTGGCTCATGTTCACTGCTGTGGTCATTTAGGTTAATTTATTCACATGTTTTGGTCTGTTTACCATCTTAATTTGACCGTGTTTTCTTCAGGCTGACCGCCTGAGGAGGATGATGGGAGATGCCGGCGAGGAGGGCGTGAAGAGTCAAATCCACATGTCCGCCGATGACCTCAATGACGGCTTCATCCTGGACAAGCATGACCAGAAGACCCTAGCCTATCAGGTCTGAGACAGCCCAATACAGCGAGGTAAATGTATCATCTTCTGGCCGATTCCCCACACGGATAATAGTTCTGCTTTATTCTCATGTATAGGACGGGAAATGGAACATTGAGGAGGAGTCGGCAGAAGAAGGAGATGAAGAAGACGGAGATGAGGAAGAAAGCGGTGAAGAGCAGGAGTCGGATGCAGAGGAAAATGAAGATGAGGATGATGATGATGGAGAAGAAGAAAAGGAGGAGGATGGGGACGAAGAAGAGGAGGAGGGCAGCAGTGAAGAGGAGGATGGGCACTCAGACTTGGACTCTGAGCAAGAAAGCGAGAATGAGGAGACGAAACAGGAGGAGAAAGACAGCCGGGTCAAACCGGTGAAGAGTCTAACCAAAGAGGAGCTGAAGGCCCAGCAGGAGGCAGCAAAAGCTGAGCTTCCTTACACGTTTGCCGGTAACTCCACCATTCACAGCAAAGTTCTTGAAGGAGCAGGAAGATTTATCTCGTTGGTGGATTATGATTAGTTTTTTAATGATGTCTTTTTTTTCCTGCTTAGCCCCTGAGAGCTACAGTGACCTGAGGGGTCTGCTCCACGGCCACACCCCCGACAACCAGCGCCTCATTGTGGCCAGAACCCAGAAGTCCAACCACCCCAGTTTAGCAGTAGGAAACAAGCTGAAACTGCAGGTAAAGCCTGGAGCTAATAAAACACGGGGGCATGGCTTAGTCGGTGCTAACATCTTTGTTTGTCTGCCTTAGAAACTGTTTGGCTTTCTGTTGGAGTACGTCGGAGAACTGGCCACCAGGAGTCCTCCCGAACTTACCACTGTGGACAAGCTCATCCCGTGAGTTAAAGAAGGATTCTCATTTGGATTCAGAATATTAGTCTTAAATGAATCAGATATTTCTGACCTGGCTTTTCTGTAGGGAGTTGTATGCTCTGTGCCAGATGTTTCCTGATGCTGCCGGCCAGGCCGTGCAGAGCGTCCTCACAGACGCCGCTCACAGCATGGAGGAGACGCTGGAGGTCAAAGGTCATGCTGCTTTCCCCACACTAGACATGGTATGCATTATTTCCTGAGTGGTCACAGGATACGACCACACCTGTAGAATATTGTGTATAATATATAAAGTTTCTGCAAACACATGGGATATTTAAACAGAACACACATGAAATTTAAACGTGTTACAGTAAAATAACAAGCAAGCTCAATTATTATGATTCTTTTTTTTTTTTTACTTCAGTATTTCATTTTGCTAATTGTTATGGATGAAGTCTGTAAAGATGTCAGGGAGATGGGTTGTTCAATCCTTAGTGGATGCATCCATCAATCTGCTACATAACAAATGTGGTCACAGCATGTTTGTTTTTTCTGTTTTAAGATGATTTACCTGAAGGTGACAGCCCTGCTGTTTCCTACTTCAGACTTCAGGCACCCAGTCACAACTCCAGCCCTTCTTTACATCGGCCAGGCTCTCACTAAGGTAAAAAGCATCCCATGGTGCTTTGTCTTATATTTGCCGTATGTGGTATGGTTTTGAAACTTCTGCTATTCTTTTCTTTACAAACTACTTCTACAAGACATAAACAAGAAAAGATGCTGTAAGTTGACTACGTGCAGATCGGTGTGTGTTTGAATTCTGTACTCTTTTTGTTTTTTTTTAGTGTCCTATAAGGTCTCTACAGGACCTGACGACAGGTTTGGGGTTTTGCTGCCTGGCGGTGGATTACGTCTCCTTTTCGAAGCGCTTCCTGCCTGAGCTCATCAACTTCCTGAGCGGAACGCTCCACATGGCAGTGGAGGACAAGGCTGCTGTTGGTACGTCCACTCAACGCGCCTCCGCCGGTCAGTCGGGCCCGTTTTAGCGGCTGTGTTGGACTGACTATCGTCCTGAATCGATATGATGCAGGTTACACGGTGGTGCCGCCCTTCAGGCCATCTGGAAAGTCCAGCGATCTGCTGAAGTTGTCGTCAGCGGAGTCCCAGAAGAGCTGGAGCAAGAAAAGCATTCCACTGTCTGACACGCAGCACCTGCAGCTCAGTAGTGAGCTGGACAGGGATCATCACAGGTAGGAGCAGACCTGGAGAAACTGGACCCATCTATATGAGACAGAATGATGATTTTTAAAGATGTCTGCAGCAATAACGGAGACAAGTAGTCTTTATCAAGACAGGATTCATGACCATGACCATCCTTTCTTCCAAACAATGTTAACATGACAAAAGTGAAACTACCTGTTTAGTTTTGTAACGCCCCCCCCCCAGACAAAGCTGGTATCTGGAGGGTTTTCCGAGAACCTAAACATTTGGCCGGATCAACCCTCAGCTTTTGTTTTAGATTCCTAACGTTACCCTTAAGGTGCAGAAACACTGGTGGTTTAAGGAATGGATTTCGATGACAGGAGCACCCAGAGAGGCAGTAAAGAACCGAGTATTTAACACTGACGCCTGGGAACAGAAATAGACACAGTTGGTAGGCAGCGGGAGATAAAGAGTGGGGGGGAATCTGTCCTTGCGGAATAGAATATGAAAATTGTAACAAAGGATGTAAAAAATTCCACAATAAAGCCACACGCATTGTGTGGATGTTAAAGCTGAAGGTGGGACGTTGTAATGCTCACCTGTTCAAGCTCTCCAGTCCAGAGCGTCCATTCCTGAGAGTGTGAGTCACCAGCATGGCTTCACACAGCAGCTGGTGTGTGGGCACAAAGCAAAGCTTGCAAACTGGCTCGGCTGAAGCACATTTTTCTTTGTACTCAACTCTAAATTATTACTCGGAGCATTTTGAAGCAGGGGGGAAAAAAAATAGAATTTGCTGGATTTGTTAAAAAGAAAATCTGAACAAAATCTGAGCGGTATACGAGGGGTTTGAAAGTGCTCCTCTTCTCCGGACTGTCTATCAGAAATTCCTGTTTTTGTATTGCTTTGCTTTTTTGTGCTTTCGGCCTTCACAGATTACCCAAAAGGGAAATTGCATTTTCCTCCATTGTCCTTCTGTCACAGGTTGACGTGTTTGTCTACCTGCCTCGGCTTAGTGGAGAGATGCTGCCAGCTGTACAAAGACTTAACTTCCTTCACATACATCTTCCAGCCCATCGAAATATTACTTTCCAAGCATCTTTCCACCCAAACATTACCCGAATCTCTGCAGGTTAGTTTCAGATCGGTGTGACGAAACCAGGTTGGGTCTTGTTGTTTCTTTTTGTCCCTTCCGCAGTTTCATGTTTTCACATAACCACACTGATGGTTCTTGTCTTACAGGAACTTTCCAGTAAGATTTTAAACGCCATCAGAAATGCCGCTGCGCCTCACCGTCGGCTCGTTTTTGAGAAGAAAAAACCCATTCCTTTGAAACTGCTCACGCCCAAGATCGTTGAAGTGTAAGTGCCAGAGTCCCTATTGCCCATCCAGACAGTTTAAAGTGATTCAAGGAGCCGGCAGCAAACACACAAATGTCATATTTAACGTAGTCTTTGCATTTCTGATACAGCTTGGACTATGGGAAGAAGCGTGGCAGTACGAGAGAGGAGCGGGAGAAGGAGCGACTTAAACACAAATACAAGAAGGAGTTTAAGGGAGCTCTGAGGGAGATCAGGAAGGACTCCCGCTTCCTGGCCAGAGAGAAGCTCGGAGAGGTCATGAAGAGGTGCGAATGAAACCGAGCTTCCACGTAGAAATGAGCTACTTCTTTTAGGAGCAGCATGTGAGGTTTATCCATTGTCTGTTTCAGGGATGACGAGAGAAAGAGGAAGGTGAGAGAGCTCTTTGGCAGCCTGGCCACCCAAGAAGGAGAGTGGAAAGCCCTGAAGAGGAGGAAGAGGAAAATGTAGAATTTCTTTTTCCACCACTTTTCTCCATCTTCTGTCGCTACTCCTTTGGACTTCTGATAACCAGTCAAAAAAAGTCTGTGGAATTGACAATTTATAAACCTTTTCCTTGTCATTCTGAGGTTGTCAAACACATTTTTATTTCTGGCTGGGAGTTTGCTGCTATGACTGCACATCAAGCCATCAGATGGGCGCTTAATGTGGCAGTTAGAAATGTCAGCAAAAAGCAGAACAAATGTTTTATTTTTCATGACACTTTGCTCAAATTCAGGAAGAATAAATTGTTCTGTCTGTATGGAGTCACTTTTTTTATTAGAATGCAGAGATTATCTCACCAAAAATGGTACATAATAGGTTTACATTTAAGTTTGAAAATCATAAACTTTCTCATGACAGTTTGGACAGACCTGGAACGTTCAGATGAGTTCAGATAAGTTAAAACAGAAAGCATCCAGTTGATGAATGTTGGGAAACAGACGTTACATGTGTGTGGTGACTGGTTTGACAGGAGGAGCTGGTTCCAGTTTGGCTACTTTACACACGGATTGTCGGTTTCCATTGAACTGCCCATGGTTTATTCCATAAATGTTGTGACATCTATCCCTTTGAGCCAAAAGAGTGTATACTGTACTGGTTGGGAGAAAATATTCATTTGCAGAGCAAAAACACTCCTTTACCAAATGTGTTCCAGGGTGTTATAGGCACCTGCTGCCTTTATTTTTGACTAATTGAAAGCTTTAGAAAGGGTGGCTTTTAAACCTTGAGCTAAGAATCTGGAAACCTCATAATCCTTTCTCTGAACATCTCTTTCTCATGAGATGCCAAACAAGCATGAAATTAATTTAAATATTTTTCATTTTATTAATCGTGTAGGCCCCTTTTTTTTTCTTTTAGCAAATCGTTTGGTGTGTTTGAATGTAGATTAATTCTTTAGTAGAAGCTATGACAAAAGAATCTGTGGCCTAAACATCGGATGAGCTGAACTTCCTCTCAGAGACAGAACACACAGTCGAATTCAAGGCCAGACCATTGTGGAGCATGTCTGTGGCCTTTCTCTTCATACACAGCACAGCCTGCAGCTGGACAGCTGGTTACAGCACATAGTCAAGGCCATTGCGCTTTATTGAAAGATTTTTTAAATAGTTTTGTTGCTATGGGCTTTTAAAACTATGTCAGCCTGGTGAAAATGTACCAAAACACTGGCTTCACACCACTTACGTGAGCTCATACAGTCCTCCGCTTTCCCCCGGCCACATGAGACATGCGTGCTTTCACACCTGCACACAAACAGTGTTTCACATACATCGATGCTGCTGCTGAAAAGGGGACTGGTTGTTTTTGTCCCATTTGTTCATGAAAAGAAATTGTGAAGTTATATCATGCAGCAGGTTCTGCAAATATTACAATGTTTGCATTGTCTTGATTCAGGATTAGATTGGTTGATTTTTATTTCTGTAGACACTGACATAATACGTGACAAATATGTGTACATATACAGAAAATGAAAAATATTTCCTTATGCACACAACTTGTCCAAAGTGTACTCCGCCCATAACAGCTAGGATCAAATCCAGCCTTGTGACCCTTTTTCCTCCCTATTAATTGTTTAAAGATTATGGAAAATATTCATTGATGTTGAGTGACTAAACTGGAATGTGACACCACTTTATGGAGAACAAAGCGGCTGAAAACATTGAGATTAAGATACGCTTATTCACATTTAGCACCTATGAATCCACAGAATGTTACATTTATGAGAGTTCAATTCAAATACATTTTTAAAATGCCATTGAAAAAAGTGAAACAGAAGTTCTACATAATTCTACTTGCGCAAATCGGTCAAATCAAAGGAATCCCTTTTCAATAGAATTCTGAAAAGATTACGCTCCACATTTTGTGCATTTTATTCAACATTTATGTCCAAATAAATTCATGACACATCCGTCATGCTGAATAAGAACTCGCATGCTAAAAAATTACAATATGAAAGCACAAAAAGCTCAGCACTCGATAGTCCATCACAAAAAAGTTGCAGTTTACAGACAAAAATATAACGCTTATATTTAAAATAGAACAGTTGAATTATTTATTTATATAGACACTTAGGTGTTTGTAGATTGTGACACATCTGTATGTTTGGGTTACTGATATTGCCACACAAAGGACACGACATGATCGGGTGTCCTCAGTGGGAGGGAGTCACTGTAAATTACAGTTGGTCACAAACATAAATGGGTGCCTTTTGAGACATACAGACTCCAACACGCCGACACAATATCTCCCAATCTACAACATTTACAGCAACACTGTAAAGACACACAGATGCTGAGCACGTACTCCATGATGGACCAATAACGAGGCACGACGGGACTTGGCAGAGCGACATGGAATGTTTCGGTCGTTGATTAGGAAGCTCCAGAGCCCTTTACTCGGCGCCGTCCTCCTGAGGATTGGAAATGACGAGATAAATGCCATGAATCTGCGGCGCTGTATGCAGGTGAGCGTTTAGGGACGTTGCCTCAGAGAGGAAGATGCCCGATGTAACATTACTCCACCCATTACCATCACTTATTCATGAACTCTGGCTGCTCTCGTGCAGGGCTCAGAGTCAGTCTTTTTCTCTCCACTTTGTTTGGATGATTAATTCAAACAAATGCATGAGGCCTTTCCTGGTTAACTGGACATGGTCTCATTATATGCCACCCTTATTTGTGATATTTTAGCAGAAAAGGAATTTGTCATGTGAAAGCAAAAATCAGGGTTCTCCAATGTATCGGTTTAAAAAAAAAAAAGAAACTTCTATACTGAACCCTATTCCGCTTGTCGGTTTGTCTTGCAACTTAATGTGTTCAAAACAAGGACGTTGTTGAATATATATGATGCTAAAACATTCTTTCAGTTGAATATCCAGGTCACCAACTACAGCACTTCTATAAAAAGTGCGCTTGACCTTTAACTCACGGGTGGTCAGCGGAGCGACACAACAGTAGGTGGTGTGTGTTTGCCCTCACCTCTGTGGCCTCAGCAGGGTCACCATCAACTGGTGTCTCAGCAGCATTCGGTTCTGCCGAGGCATCATCACCCTACAAAAATAAAATAAAATAAAATAAAACTAGATCAGCCAATATAGTTCTTTTCCACAGTATCTATGGTATTTTACAACGTTAAAGAGCTTTCAACTGAGGGAATTTATTCTTGTATGTTGTCACATGTTGAAAGACATTTGTTTTTCCATCCCAAGTCACCTTGATCAGTCACAGAAAAAGGGGACAGTGAAAGAAAATATAATAAACAAGTCATGAAGTGGTAATGAAAAATGGGGGTGACGTCTCTGTCTGGCCTGGATTACACTGTGCCTTTGAGCCGTCCTTCCTTAATGAGGAGCGGTCACAGCGTATTGACACAAGCTTCCATATGCGAGTCGCTCAGATGGATGACAAAACCTCAACGCCACCTTTTCCTCCTGGTGCATTTTAACTCCTCCCATCAAGTCTCCATCTGTGCACCTGACAGAGCCAAAACAGATGTGCGCGTCTGGAAAAGCCTGCAGACGGAGCCCTGCTTCCTGTGATCAGGCCCCGTCTCATATTCCAGCTGCTCCATTCACCTGAACCCGTCTGTGCATCTCACAGAAGTTACCTCCTTGTCTTTCCTTTCTGACCTCTCTGAAACAAGATGAGTCACCAGCAGCTGGAGAATTTATGAAACACCCCGATGTGAGGATCAAGAACCAATCTCCCCATCATCCGTTTACTCATCTGTGGGTGTCTGCAGAGTCACTGACGTACTCTCCTCAACTTGACATTAATGTATAGAAAAAAACATCAATATAAATTATGCTCAGTGACCACGATGAGCCCTGGAATGAGGCACAATCTGCTGCAAGTCAGGCCACTCATTGTCAATTAAAAATAAAATAAAATCTAACCATTACTGTGAAGAAAGAATGTGAAAGACATTTGGAAAACCTTTGCTTTCGTCAAGTCTGTTTGCATCTTTATAGGACACATCTGCACCAACTGTAGCCAGTTAGAGAAATATTTGCATGCTGTTGTGCAACTGCCACTCCGATTTCCCCTGTGTGATGCTGCTAATTAAGAATGGGAGGTTGAACATCACAGCAGCCTATGTCAGCTTATTTCCTGCTACTTAGCGTTGTGAGCAAGGAGGGTAATTACAACCAAATTTGGCTCTCCCTCAAGTATTGAATCAAGTTATCATATTTATCTGGGTATGCAAAGCATGGGATCATAGGAGAGAAACCGATAAGTTGCCAATCCTAACGTAAGTCATTTTGAATTTCAGGCAAATGAAACAACGGCATAACTCATTCAATACTGTAAATGATTACATAACACATTAGATTAACTCTGGTACAATTTAACCAGGCCCATTTCTTATGATCTGGAATTCAAGTGCCTAACTCGAGCGACAAACGGCACCGTTTCCTTTGAAGAATGCTTTAAATACGAGTGTTTGGCATCATCAACATGGCAGATAATGTAGTTTTATAAAGGATGCTGCTGGTCTTGGATGTACAAGCAAGTGTGTATCATTCTTGTGTTTCAGCTCACACAAGCTGAAAGTACAGTGAGCCAAGCAATTTTCTGGGTTGTACATGTGCTCTATGAATATTCTAACATTTTAGTGGATGTGACGAGATTTCCATCAGTAGAGCTATGAGAGATCAAGCTATTTTGGACAAAAATAACCACAACAAAAATAAATAAATCAGAAATGGGATGAAAGGTATAATTTCTCATATTGGATTTCTATCAACGGTAAATTGCTTGCCATGGTAAACGGCCCTTGTTTCTTCCCAATCCCTTGACAAAAGCCAGAGTGACTGATGAGGATCATAGGAACCTTGCCAGCATTCATTTCAGGAAGGAAGACACACAGCAGATATGAGAAGTGATGACAAATCACTCAAGGTCAGGTGGCCATTTTGAAAGAAGACATGCCTTGCACTGTATGAAATGGAGGGATAAACTACTGTGCAAACTAAACGCAAGTCACTCTTTTCATTTATGCCTTTTCGAAATAAAGTATGACAACAGTTTAGAATATACCCACTTCTCACGTTAAAATCATACCATTGTGAGAAGTCTGACTAATCCTGGTTTACAGAATCCTACAAACTGGTGTTCTGTGGAAAATCCCAGTAAAACAGCAGCTTTACTACAAATTTGGACTGAAAAATGGACAGATTGCAGGTTTTGATCAAATTAAAAAACTTTTAGGTTCACCTGTTGAACTGAGAGTTGAGTATGCATGTTCACAGAAATGAAAATTAACTTTAATTTCAATTTAAAACTGAATGTCTTACTTGTTTGGCTGGATCCTTCTTAACTAATCCAGTGGCAGCAGCAATGTTGCCTGCTCCCTCCACAGTTTTCTGAGCCACAGCGGTAACTCCGGTAACCATCGCTCCACCCACCTGAGACACTCCAGTCACGGTTTTACCAGCAACTGTAGACAGGGAAAGGAGTGAGGAGAATATTTAAGAAGTCTTTGCCTCTATGGATTCCCAATACCAGTGAGGATTAAAAGACAAACATGTAGCAGATCACACAATACTGGAATCCGACTATTATTGGAGTACTCAATGTTACTTGATTAAGAAAATGGGACAACAAATGTTACTTTAATACTTAAGCATCTTTAACCCAATTTGAAAAAAGGTGTTCAGTGTTGGCAAAATTGATAAAATCTGAATACGGGTCATCGGTAACATCCTCAATTGTTGTTTTGCAAGCAGAGTTATAAAAAGATGAAATGTGGTTTTGTAGTTATTTTATTAAGCTAGTTTCTGGAATTTAAGGCCTTTAGGAAAAAAATTTAAAAAAGGAAAAAAGTGATCAATTAGATAGAATGCCATCAATACGGAGGTCACAGGCAGAGCTAGATGAACGATTAGCAAGCTTAAAAGGAGAAGGATTACGGCTTTCCATCAGTTTTATACCGTGTAATTGATGTAGACTTGAAAACAGACGAGGTTTAATATTGGCTTGTGTTGACATCTCAAAAGCAGATTATCAGATCATCTAATCCAGATCGCTGACAAGACAATATGCCAAAACATATACTGCTCATAATCTTGCTATAATCTAAGAACTCAAATGCACTAACTTGCTTTACTTGCACTCAGCATATAGGGAAACTATATGCCATCTCCCCAGATGCCTAATGTATAGTAGCTGCCCCCCCCACCCCCAACCCACTTGTTATGTATGACAAATGGTGTTGTCTGTGGGGAGTAAGGCATGTTGTGTTGAGTAAGGCTGTGAAATGTGACACTTATTCAATCTCTATTAACCACCTGGTGATTCAGTCAGGGGATCTTTGCTTTTACACCGCAAAACCCTCCTCAGATGTTTCCAGATGTGCCACTTAAACAGATTTATGCTCAGTCAGACTTGCAGTAATAAAATGGGATGGTTTTACCTGTAGTGACTCCATCCTTTGTTTTAGTTCCTAAAACAAAAAACACAGATTAAATTAGTCATACACATAAAAAAACACAGACAACTACAGGTCAGCAGCATCTCCAGCAAAATAAAAGCCGCTGTTCTGGATGGCGTGATCATTTGACCACGGATCCAATAAGAAATTCCCAGAACCCACCGACAAACATAACCCCATCCTTCGTCATCTCTGCCGCTCCCGTCACTCCCTGCTTGGTTTTCTCCGCCGCTGCCACGACCCCATCCTTGGCTTTAGAGAAACCCTTCATTAACGCGTCCATGGTGGCTTGACTGGCTCCAACGATACGGACACGCAGCTGCAAAGATGACCAAAAAAAAAAAAAAGACACGATGAGAAAGCAAAAGAGAAAGAAAGAAATACCACGATAAATACAATTTTAAAAAACCCAAAAAGATCCCACTGCCCCCTTTGTGACAGGTCTGGTGAGCCAGCACAGATGTTTTTGCTGGTGTGCGAGCAGCTGTGGCTGCTGAAAACCCCACCTGTAGATATTGGCTACAACCCGGCTGAACAAATCATGAATGGGTTTACTATGAGAGCAGGGAGCAAAGTAAGGGAAAGACAACGGGCACATTGTGGATAGAAAACGTGTCAGAGAAACACGCAAACGATGGCACCTTAGGACAAAATGTGCTCTTTTTTGTGGAGGAACAATAAGAGATAAGAGATGGATTTCACGCACCTGTTCGCTTCAACTTCCTTTCAGGGGGGAGAATGATGACTGTTCCGGGTTGACAGCCGAGAATCCCTCGGGGTGCAGGAAAACCGGTTTTGCCTTCTCCAAACTTGAGCGATTCTAGAGACGACGGGTGTAGCTTCCTCCAAACGCACGGACGGGCGCAGACGCTCTACAGGTTTGACAGACGCCTCCTACGCCGCAGAGCTGGAGAAGGAGCGATTGATCACTCACACACACACACACACAGATTACGTAGCCGTTTCTGTCCGTGGGTTGTCCACATCGAGTATTTGCAGGAGGCTCTTTAAAGTCATCCGCGGCTCGGTTACCAATTAAGCCAGTGACGCTTCTAATTACGCACGATGGCACCACTCACTCCGCAGCTGTGAACAGCTGCACGCCACCTCCATGATTTCTGTTTGCTGACAGGTCACAAGGTCAGTTTGCCCATTTAAAATCCTAAATAAACTAGTTCTTCGAATGGGTGGAACATGTAAATTAAAGCTCACATAATGCACACTTATGTTTGGAAGAGTTCCTTGTAAATAAATCTGCTTAATCAGCACACATTGAAGAGAGATTCTTACAAACGGGGAGGGGTCTTAAACTTCAGGATTAGTTCTTAAAAGCTCCAAGCCAGAGGATCAGAAAAATCTTGAAAAAAGTTGGACTTCATGATATATGAAGGTCAGTGACTCGTCACATTTGAACGGACAGTGTGATGACCCGAGTGCTCCCCAAAAGCTAAAACTTTATCTCAACCTAATCCATTATTTATGTCTGATTTGTAAGAGTTGGGCAGAGTCCTCCAAGAGTGAAAGATTAAGTATATTCAACCAGGTACGTTATGGTAATGAGCTAAGATAGCAAATCTGAGTGAAGTTGGTTAATCAAGTTTATTTTAACAAGTACGGTAAAAAATAATAGAGTCAAAGTGAGGAAATGGAAAAAAACAACAACTTACCTGGTAGACTATGAACTCAAAATGAAGACCTGGCACAAAATGTGAGGTGTGTATTCTGAGGGGAAATTAAGTCTGAAGCAGCTGAGACAATTAGGGAGCTCTAGAAGCAGGTGTGAGGTCTGAGCAGGAAGTTAAAACTCTGCAGTTCTGAAGAATAAGGCATATAGTGATATTAGCTGAGCTGTGGAAGATGAACTGATATGATAAGCTGATAGATAGGCTTCGGACCCCGTTATTTTACATCAACAGTGGAACCCCTCAAACAGAACTCTTGTTTCTATTCATTCATCTTTTTTCTAAATAAAAACAATTGTTACCTTTATGCATTACACAATGAAAAACTACATGAAATATAAGATCCTGTTGACGACATGATGTGGAATATAATGGAGCATTTCAACCAAGACTTACTCAGCCCTAGATCAAGGCTTATTTATTTAGTTTTTTTCTGCTGAGGGCAGGGGCACAAACTCCTCTGTGCTCTTTGATTTGGGAAAGTAATGTCTTTAAATGCGGACATGTCTCCCATTCACAAGATTGCTAAATCCATTTAAATTAGTTTACTGACCCTTGAGTGGACAAAACCTTTGCAAAAAAACAACTTAGTGGAAAATGGTGCAAGAAAAAAAAACATGATAAACAGTTTAAACCACTGAGGAAGGAACTGTTATTAAATGTATAGACATTTTGTGATTTAAAAAAAATATTATTAAAAACTACTATTCACCACATTAAAACCTTGGATGTTTAATATTTGGTGATGCTAGACCTAAAGTTAATAACCAAATGGATTAGGCTCATGAACTGGAAGTGATGATACAGAAACCCTTTTCTCTCCTCCGGCTTTGTCTACGCTCCATATCCTCTCGTGATCATTGTCATTTTATCCCCCACTGCCAAAGCTAATTCAACCATTCTCGTTTATTTCAGGTAGTTTTGGTTATCAATTATGTGTGACACAGACAGAGACCTCCATAATGTGCTTTAAAAAATGCACATTTGCATGTTTTTCCTAAAACAATAACCGAAGCGAGCATCTGGGTGACAAATTTCACTACCATTCTCATTGCTTTGCATGTTGTAACAAAATGTGCAAACAATAACTCAGAGGGCTTTCTTTCCCAACAAATTAGTGCAATGTAAACAACAGAATTTGTGATATGCACTGAGAGCCCATGCAGTGTTGTCAAGGCTGAATATGAAATGTACAGAAAGTGCAGCTCTGAAGAATTGATGTAACTTTGAAAATGTAGTCAGTTTTCAAAGAACAAGGGGATTGACCTCCCGGCTGCCAATTACCATCATTAGACTTCGGTTTGGTTCAGTTCACATTTCCAAGTTGACATCGAGCAAACTTTGAGTTTTGACATCAAAGTGTTTTATGTCAGATCTAAATATAGCATTTCTCATATGCTGAGACATATATGCCCAGATTGTGTTTGAAGTTTGATGTCCTGTTCCGGAATGAGCAGGTACAGCTTTTTTTGTTCTTTTAGTGTCAGAAAACTTATTGCAATGTTGTTGATACTGAACATGTAGCCGATAGTATGAATAGCAAATTAGTTGTCAAATCCCAATTAAATGAAAACAATATATGTGGCATAAGGCATGCCGCACCCACCGGTATTTGCACCATTAATACTTGTTCAAACTAATGTTTGAGGGTGAGTCATTTTCAGTCAGTTGGCTTGAAAGAGAAAAGGTTGCTAATTGGAATCCCAGCCGGTGACTTTCTGTGTCGGAATTCCACATTCCTCCCCGTGCTGCTTAGATTTTCTCCAAGTGAAACAGTCTCATTACAATTTACAGTATACATATTTACTTAATTGGAAATTCTAAATTCTCTTAAGTTAGACTGTGAGTGTGAACTGTTGTCCGTCTCTCTGTTAGCCCTGTGACTGCTGTCCAAGGTGTGCCCCGCCCCTTGGCTGGTCTCAGCATGGTTTGGCTCCCGTCCAGTGTAACTCTGAACACCGCTAAAGGCTTATAAAGAATGGATGGATGGAGTTTCAGTTTCTTGCTATGGAAACGCTCAGTGTCTCAAGCACAGTCTCCTATTGCATTTCATCTAAAGTCTCTAAAGTCCCTTAATGGTCTTGAATTCATGACACGAAAGTCAGCGAGGACTCAGAGGCCCAAAGGGTGGACATCTGCATGCAGCAAAACACTCTGCATCCTCCGGGAGGTTTAGCACAGGCCCAGCTGCTCACAGTTAGTACCTTTTAATTTGGCTCTTCAAGATGTAGCAACAAGTGTTTTTTTTCTTCGATTTTTTAGCATTTGCTTTAATTGAATTAAAAAAAAAAAAGCAGTTAAGTTAATGTGAATACATTTAGATTAGAAAGAATAACTGACACACTTCCAGATGCCTATTTAAAGAATGCAAAGCACACAACAATATACAATCCTTTATTTTCCCAAATAATGAAATAATTTCCCACAGTTACTCGATTCAAGACAGTTCCCTAAATGACAATAGACAGAGCACAATGAGATTGATGGTCACAAACCTAGGTGTACATTCCTCGTTGTTTGTGATATGATACATAATGCTGGTTTTATATTAGTCACAGGATCATAAGACTGAGCAATCCATCACTGTGTTATCAATCAGATGCTACAGAACTGAGCCATTAGGATCCCCTGTCATTTATCAGAGGCTGCTGGGGACAGGCAGGCTCATTACTGTCTGTGCTGGCATGATGCCGCGGGAGCAGAGGCATCATCAAGTAAACTGGCTAGATTCTTCACTAATAGCAAAGCAGCTTTGGCTAAAGACTAATATTTGAATACTTCCATGGATTGGACGAGTGTGTTTTCCACCTTTCTGTATTATATATACATGTATTTACGTTGTTGTTTGTTAATGTGATTAAAGGTTTGTTATTTGGTTCTTTTGGTTCATTTTGATTTTACAAGACCCAATTCCAAGTCTTCTGTTAATCTAATCTAACCGTGGAGAACATCAAACTCAAGATGATGAGGCCATACACCTCAGGAAATTACATCCAAATCCTTTTTTCGAAATCAATGTGCCTTACTGCGAAACAGCACGCCATATACAGTATATAGATATTTTTACAGATGCAAATAATTAGTACTAAAAGAAAACACATTGCTCAAGATGTCTGTCCTTATTTAGGCTGGGATGATTCTGCAGAGGTGAAAAGACAATATCATGCAGTTCTTCACTTAGCAATGCTCCAGAATCAGTTAAAATCCTGCAACTCAGCTTGAAAGATTAAGTCTAACGCAAGCATCCATTCACATGTTCAAAGTTTTGGACACGAATTGTGACAAGGAAACGTTTTTCGGTGCCAGTAGTCTTGAAACATTACAATGTTATTTAATTACCAAGTCCTAACCTATCGCAACTCACAGCAAAGTTTAAGGTGGAAAGGTTTTAAAACAGTTTTAGGTCAGATCAGTGATGTTCTTTTTTTCTCTTGAATGCAAGTCTGTGGTTTAATTAATCTACCCTTTCTCTCCTACATACACTTATGTGTTTATCTATTAAATGATGCAATTTCAAGCACACATGTTTCTATTCAGTTTGATTCTTTGAAAATGACCGTCCCCGGTGAGTCATTATTGATGCAAATATGAGTCATAACAG